AACACTTCATATAAATAACTATTTACGCTGTAGCTGGAGGTGCTTTAATTGTACTTGATCTTCTCCCTTCTGATCTCTCAAATGTACTTGTAGTGGTTGTTTATGGTACTGATAAATTTGATGATGTTGTTGTTGTTGTAACTGATTATCTATAGCTAGATTATGTTGTAGCTGCTTAATTCTAACCTATCCCACTTGATCCAAGTGCAGATGGTCTATATCTACTTGTGTACTAAGACATTTATTTTATTAAATAAAAAATTTAATTCAATCATCCAAGATTTTTACTATATTAAATACATATATACATATATATAATAAATATTTATTGTTTCCTCCAAATTATACAATTTATTTCAACGATCAAATTTCATATTAACCACTTTCTCTAAACTTCCTTTTCTAACTTCCAACTCTCAATTTATTACAATCTTAATATTTTATATCACTATTCCTAAATCAATACATAATATATATCATTTCAAAAAGATATTTTTTACTGATATCATTAATTTGACAGCACTCAAGTATTATTTTTATAATTTTTTCAAGCAATTTCAAAGACTCTCGAGATTAAATCTTCCTTCTCACTTTTAATTTATATTTATATATATCATTATCATATATATTTTATGCAGCTGATTAAACTCATACAAATTTGTTTTTTAATATACTTTATTTCAGAATTATTTTAAAATAATCCACTCTAATGTCTCAAAAATATTTTTCCAATCTTAAATGTTAAATATATAGAATGTATATGGTATGTTATGAAAAAAAAATATACAGAAAATACAATAATATTTCAAATAGAAGGAAATAAAAATTATTTAAAACTTAAAAAATAAGTAGTCATTAAAAATGGTATAATAGTATATTTATTTCATTCAATTTAACTTTTAATCAAACATTATTTTAACTGATGAAAGATATGGGTGAAATTTTGATAATAATTTCCAAAATTCTTAGAGGCCAAACAAATTTAATTTAATTGTTTGTGGTGGGGGTTTTTAAATGATTGACTTTTTATTCATAAGTTTATCATTCTAGGAATAATTTATTGATGGTAAAATTAGGATAGGATTTGTATAATAAAATAGTACAAGGAAAAATTATAAAAATTCTTGTCAGCCATTTTTATGGTGGAGGATGTACTGCTTTCAATATCGAAGAAAAAGGAAGAAGATCGAAATGAGAATTTTATGTTTTAGATTATTTATCTAAAAAAAATGGAATATTAATAAATTTTCACATAATAATTGGATTATGAATAAAAAAAATAAGAATGCAAAAAAGGAATCCAATCAATAGGTTTAAGATCAACAATCGTAAATGAATTCTTTAGCTTCGTTGGATATTAGTAAAAAAATAATTTTCTTAAAAAAAATATTATGGACCTGGTTGATATGGCAAAGTGTAATAGTATTAAGTTGCTTTGTCATTTATATTGAACCTCCTTTCTTGTCAGTCTTGCTGGAATTGTTTGATTCAGATTTATTATTGATGTTTTTCGTTAGTTTAACTATAGTTTTATTGTATTTTGGATCAAGCAATATAAACTAAATAGAAGTAAAATATTGTTAAATAAATTTTAGGAAAAGAGAGCTTAAATATATTTGATATCAATTATAATTACTTAGACTTTGCTATATTCTTAGATCACAAGTAAATTAAACTAAAGTATTAAATAATAATTAAGTAGCAAACTCAATAAATTTCATATTGATCCATTGTATGTTGCTGATTGTGATTGGTAATCTACTACTTCATTTTAGAATTGTTAGGGAAATTAATCATTAGATTTATTTCAAACAAATGATATAGTATTGTGGATTATTAATAGCGGCAGAATTCTTTTTTACAAAAACTACTTCAATAAACACATTATAAGGAATAATAGTAATTGTTAGCATATTAGGATTTGGAACATTTACTTTAAGATCAATTGAATCATTGACAGATGGCAAAGTAAAATTAAAATTATAAAAAAGTTTAATTTAAAAGAGGAACAAGTATATTTGGGATGTGTTGTAGCATATACAAATTTATTGTTACCAAATAGAAAATTTGAATGAATAAATTGTAAATAGATAAAGAATAAAATAAATAAATTATGTAATACATCATATTTGATTAAATCACACTATAAAACCGATTTAATTTTTTTTAATTAAAACATTAATTAAATAATGTAATAATAATAAACTCCGAAATAATGTGAGAAAATTAGTTAATTGGCAAATCGACCCAAAAGAAGCGAATAAGTCAATAAAATTTGCAGACCAGTGAAGGTGTTAAGCAACCACTTCCCAGTATAATATTAATCTAACTTAATAGTTTGAATTTAAAGACAAATAAGCAGGACTTAATATTTATGCAGTAAGTTTTTCAGAAGATGTTCCTCAAGATAGTAGAGAGGTAATCAGTGAATTAATTAACTTATCCAGAGCTTAATTTAAGTAGGCAGGACTAGAAACATTTTCAGTATACATTTAAATATATAATAATTAGATTAGAGGCCTAAATATATGGAGTCCTCAGTATGTTAAAGAAAGAATAATTTCTTAAGTAACCTTTAAAGATTAAAAATACTGTGTATACTTGAATTTTGTGAAATCAATCGATTTTTCATATCTTGATGGGTATTAATAAAATTAATATGTTTTAGAGAAAACCAAGAACCAACTTTAATGTAGCCTCTCTAATAAGCTATAAATGTTTAAGTGAAAAGAGCATTAAAAGAGATGGGATTAAGAGAACTTAATAGATTGTCATAATTCTTTGATCCAAAATCAATAGATGCTAATCCAGTTTAAGGTTTCCCACTTAAAGTATGGCTTGGATATAAGACTTCTCTGAAATTAACTTAATCAAAACCTTAATTATTAATTGATTATGCTTCAAGGGTTTTAAGTACAGAGACAGCCTTAAGGTTTATTAAATCTTTTAAGAATAATGATTATGCACAAATAAAAGAGGAGTTTGAAGGAAAATCAGTAATAGCAACTTATGGAAATTATAGGTTGTATAAAATTTCAGCAGTTGATTTCAAAAAGACTCCTAATTCATCATTTGATTTGGAGGATGGCAAAAAAACAACTTATGCCCAATATTATTAAGATAGATATAAAATCAAAATTTAAGATATGAACTAACCTCTTCTTGAAAGTTTAGATAGAAGAAATCCAGATAAAAAATTTTATTTAATTCCAGAGTTAGTTTATATGACTGGATTAAGAGATGATTAAAAATCAGATTTTGGATTGATGAAAGAATTAGCATATTATACAAAAAAAGAACCTGGAGAAAGATTACAAATAATATAAAATATGTTAGGAAAATTATAAAAACAATTAGGTGCTTCATAGATCATACTAAAATCAGATTCAAGTACTACAGCCTATATTTGCCAATAACCATAGTTAACATTTGCAAATTAAAGAAAATTAGATGCTGATCCAACTGGATTTTTCATTTTAAAAGATCCAGTTTATTAGAGTTGTTATATAAAAGATTGGTTTTTAATTTATCAATCAAAAGGAAGATAAGATGATGATCTTGCTGATGATCTAGTAGCAGATCTATAATAATAAGGAGGAAGATTAGGAATCAAATTTGATAAACCATTTTTTATTAATATGAAAGGAAACAAACCTTAAGATTGGATCAAAGAATTATAAGCAGAATTTAAAAATGGATTACCATCTCTTGTTGTCTCTATTACTGATAAAAATAGAGATACATAACTTTATGTTGGTCTTAAAGACTTTTTACTTTCATAAGGTGGTGCTGGTGTTATTCATCAAAATGTAACTACTAAAGCATGTAAAAATAAAAACAAATAAAGTATTGCTTCTAAAATTGCTTAATAAATAAGTGTCAAATTAGGAAATCCTTTATGGGTTATTCCTAAAGTTAAAGGAATCTCTGAAAAAATTATGATTATTGGAATGGATATCTATCATAAATTAGTTTCAGGAAAATAATCTTGTATGGGTTTTGTTGCTCATTTTGATTTAGAATGTAAAACAAGCTTTTCCAAAACTATTATCATGAGAGCTGGCTAAGAATTTAATTAGGCTGTTGGATTAGCTTTTAAAGAAGCTCTTTAAGCTTATTTTTTACATTATGGAAAAAAACAATTACCTGATACTATTTTAGTTTATAGAGATGGAGTAGGAGAATCATAAATCTAAGCCTTGATATAAACAGAATTAGAACAAATTAAAAAAGTTATTTAAACATATACAGCTGGATATAATCCTTAATTTGCATATATTACTATCAATAAAAAAATTTCTGATCGATTCTTCTTGAAAGTAGATGATGCTCCCCCTTAAGCAAGAAAAAATTCAAAAAGCCCTTATATAAATCCAGTTTCAGGTTTAGTTGTTGCTGATAGAATAACCTCAAAATTTTTTGATTTCTTCTTAGCTGCTTAATATGTGACTTAAGGAACTTGTACACCAACTCACTATATAGTATTAGAAAATAATACTTAATTTACTGAAGAAATGTTTTGGTAAATTACATACTTTTAATGTTTCAATTATTGGAATTGGACAGGAGCAGTAAAAGTACCTGCTTGTGTTTAATATGCTCACAAACTAGCATTTTTGGTTGGAGATACTTTCTAAAAAGCTGTTCATCAGAATCTTTAAAGACAACATTTTTATTTATGATTTTCATTTTTTTCTTAATATATATATATAAATCAAATTTATAATAATAATATTAATCATTCTTAAAATTAATCTTATATATTTATATTAAGAACTCTTGTCATAATTTCTAATGCTCCTCGTAATTATGGATCTTTTGTAGGATCTTTTAATTTTTCTAATGCTAATCTCTTTCTATTATCAACTAAATTATGTTTTATTTTTGAAGCTTTTTAACTGCTTTCTAATAGTAATACTTTCTCTTATTCTAACTTGCTAATAATGTAAAACAATTTAATACTCTTAATTTAATATCAATTTAGATTCTCTAGTAACAACAGAACTTTTATTAAAATTGAATTTCTATTACAACAATTCATTTAATCTTTATGCTCTTTTTTTCTCTTTATAAATTATTAAATACTTACTTAAACTTCCGATTCAGCCTAATCATCCATATTTGATAATGTCTTGCCTATTAAATTTTTCTCAATATATTCGATTTTCTTTCTTTTCTCTTCTAATTTTTTATCTTCAATCTTTTATTCTTCACTTTTCTTTTCTGGAGATAATTTTTCAATTCTTTTATCTTTGACTGTTTCAAATTTTTAAAGAGTTAATTTAATCAACTTTAAACTCTCTTCAGAATTAGCATCTAATACTCTAATATCTTCACTTAGCTGTAATAAATTATAACGTAAAGCAGTGACATCTTTCAAAAAACTCATACATTATTAATCATCTAAAATCTTATGACCAGCCTACCTCATCATTAACATATATAATTCAATTCGATCCCTCAAATATTAAAGCATTTCATTAAACAAGTCTACATTCTTATCATATATTTTTTCTTCTAAATGAGGATCTATATACTCTGGATTCTACTCTTATAAATTTTTAATAGGGGATTATTTCAACCCTATTTATTCTGGATTCTTTTTGAATTCCTACAATATAATAGAACCAATCTAATCAATTAATACTATAGTATCTTCCAATCTTTAATTAAACATTCCCTTTTTTTTAGGCTATTCCATTAAATCCATTAATAAAAAGATCTTTTTAAGTCTAAACTTATCAAGTAATAAATTCTTTAATTAATTGCATTTCTCCATTATTATTTTTAGCAAATCTCTCACCACAACATGTTACATAGTTCTATCTAAATAAATTTATATAATTCTTACCTCTTCTTATAAAAGCATCAAATTAAACATAAGGTAATCCTTCAAATAAATTAGCTCTATCTATTTCTGTATGTTTAAACAGTCTATACCTTCCTAAAGGTCCATTTGATCTTCTCAGTTATTAGTTACTTGTATATTTTTTCATTATAATTTTTACTATTCTTTAATTAAATGTATTATCTGATTCGGTAAATTCATTATAGTTATTTCATTACAAATATCATGATAACTATGAATAAATGAAATAATTAAAATATATACGAAATTTAATATTTAAAGATTAACTAAAATCATATTTCAATTTTCTATTAAAAGAGTTTTTCAAATACACTTGCAGGTCCTTGGGAATCAAAAAACTAATTTAATTTTAATTTCTCTCTAATAATATATTAAAAATTAATTACCTATTATATTCTCTAACATCAGATACTCCAATCATTCCTAACAAATAGCTTTATAAACCCCATAATTCTCTATCATCTTTATTATCATAGAAAGGAACAATGGGAATTCCATTATCTAATTACCATGCATAACTATAAGCAGCATTATCAATCAAAACAATTTAACTCAATTGTCTATCAAAAATTCTAAGATCCTTTGTATACATTCCTCCTGTTGTCATAATACAATTATCTCTAAAAAGACGATGAGAAATTAGTTTATTTTATGGATCCAAATAATCTAAGACTTATTGAGCATAACATGAATGTGAAGCAGTAAAAACGATTATTTCGAAGTCATCAACTAAGGATTCCAAAAGTTCAATAGCTCCTGGACGTATATTAACTCCTGCTTTTACTATTTCATTAGGACCTACCTGAATATTTAAAAAAATATCTGATTTTTATAACAACGATTCATTACAATGTACTAATGTTTCATCTAAATCAAAAATTAAAGATATTTTATCTAATTATTGTATAATTATTAATACTTCTATATTTATCTTTTTACTTTAATTAAACCCCCTTTTTCTTTAAATCATTAGGATCTACTGGCCTAAGATAAGAAGCAACATAAATTCCTTAATATGTTTGAAAAAAATGTTCTCTATAAATGCAACTAAAATAATCATCTCTAAGAGGACGAGTAAAAACTTATCTAATCTTTCCCAAATAATATTGAAATTAACTATTTTCTTTATTCTCCTTATTAAATTTAATACTTTCAAAATACTTCGATTCTCTATTAGATAATTGTTAAGATTGCTGTAAAGATACTTATCTAGAATGTTAAGGAGTCGTTTAATGTGATTAAGCCTTCTTAGGTTTTTGTAACATTGCATTGTATAATTTCTTATAATTTTAATCTTTAGAACCAATTGATTGTTATCTTTTGTGTTGAACAGATGTAGGGGCTTTTAAATCAGATGTTTATGGTCTTACATCTGTACTCATAGGTGATTTTTAGGATTGTTTAAACATATTTAGTTCTAAGTTTGGAGTTACTTTAGTGACAAGTTGATTTAACAACGATTGACTTTTTGAATAATTTCGAGTAGGCGTATCTCGTTTTTGTTGCAGCAATTAATTATACTTTTACATTGCTGCAACTAGTTCCAGATTTGTCATCTGTTTCTTCTTTTACTAATTCTCCTTACAAAATTATTGCTTTAAGAATTCTTTCCCAAATATATTACCATTTGAATTTTATTTACTTGACATGTTTCTAACAGAATTAATGAGATCCAATTTTTGTGTCTTCAGATTTTAGCTTGCTTTCTGCAATATATCAAATACATTATTATTAGTCTCAATTTATGGCTTTCCCTTCATTAATTTTATTATATAATTAATTCTCTAAATTTATATCAATCTTATATATATTTTTCATTTCTTATATGTTACACTTATAACAATCTCCAAATACAAGTGAATTCAAAGTTTAAACACCTCTCTTTCTAAAATATCATTCAACTTATTAAGTTCAAGTTATCTGATTGAAAAACAATAAAACATATAATCTATTTAAAATAAATCAAATTATCTTATTATAAATAAACATAACTACTTAATTGAGAATATGTCATTCAAATTTCAATGAGAAATTAAATCAAATAATCTAATAATACTTATAAAATGCTCATTTATTTTGACAGATGTAGTTAAATTTAATTCTCTAAATTAATAAATTAGATTTTTAAATAAATATCGAAGATTCAACTCCATTGAGAGACTAATAATAATTGCAGATAGAATAATTAGAACTCCTAGATATTGTATTAGAATGTAAGAAATTCATTTACTCAAAATATGTTCATTTCTTTCGACACTGAAAAAAATAAAATTAATTTTTTTAAGTATATACATAAATAATAATTTTATTTTAATTATTTACACAACCCATGAAATTAATTCCCTGTTTGAAACATGATGGATCATATTTATTATTTATAAAATAAGATAAAAATGAGACAAAATTTTTTTGTGAGTAATGTTGCATGGATATGAATAAATAATACCTTCAAAATGATTAATAATATTTAATTATTTATTATAAAAGGCATTGAAATCACCAGAATTTTTAATTTCAAAACTGAATTTATCAACATCCCTTTAAGAAATTTTCACCAATTTGTATTAATATGATGAAAATACTGTGAATAATCTTCTAATTGATTTTTAGACTTAATTTTCAAACATAGAAAAAGCCCTAAAAATAGTTTATAAAGAACTAGAATAGCATTCTAAAAGTATTCTAGAAATAAAATTGAAGATTAGGAATGAGTTAAAAAAGGTTATTATTTAATCAATAATAGATTATTAAATTTGATTAATTTTAATAATTTTCAGTTAATCTTGAATAATTAGGAGATTCGATTAATATTTAAGCTATAGAATAAAATGAAAAAAATCTGCATGAATATTTATAAGAACTTACAAAAAATAACTGTTAAGAACTGAATTTAAAATTGATTGATGTGCTTGAAAGAATATAACGAGAGCCAAAAAATCTAAATGAGGAATAATATCCTTAATGTAGAAAATTATAAAATTACTTTAAATCATTTAATCTTAATTAATAAAGTCTTGCATAATATGATAATTTACTGAATATTGTTTAATGTAGTACAAAATATGATGGAGAGTTATTGTCATCTAATTAATTATGCAAGATAATTAATTATATTTAATCTAAATTGAATAAAAAAGTAAAAACCTTTTAACAAATATATTTTGGAACTAAAGATGGATTAAATGGAAAAGTGTTTTGGAATAAAGTGAACGAGAAATCAAATTTATTAATGATATTCAAATCTAAGAGTGGATTTATTTTTGGTGGTTTTTCTCCATGTCAATGGCAATAAAGTTTGAATAATTATGTAAAAGATAATACATGGTCTTCATTTTTATTTTCATAGACTCATGATTAAATATATCCTTTAAAAGGAGACGCTTTCTATTGTAATTTATAATATGGACCTACTTTTGGAGGTGATTTTTATAAGGGTAGTCATGATATATATATTGATAAAAATTTTCAAGAAGGTTATTCTAATTTGGGAACTGCATATTAATGTGATTAATATTAAATCGTTAATACTAGCACTCATTTATTTGGTTAAGTAATTCCAAGAATAGAGGAGTGCGAGATTTATTAAGTAATATATGTTTGAATGATCTATTATGAGAGTAATAATTTAAAATAAACCTTATGTTTTTAAAATATTTTGATTCTTAAACATAACATCAATATTTAATAATCAGTGTTCTTTTTAAATAAACTAATTTTTTGATTCATTCTTGTATTAATATTAGTTTTATTCATACTTCAGATGTAAAAAATATAAAAGTTCATTAATATATGATATCTTAACCATAATAATAGGTTTCCCATACATTAAAAATATTATATGAATTATATAATATTGGCGATTATATTTATCGATAAGGGATTTTAATAGATTTATAAACATAGAGCTTTCAAATATATTTAAAAATTAAAGGTTTCAATATTTCATTCAAAATGCATGTAAATACCTTATGCAGAATAAATACATCATTAATATATGCTTAATTGAATTGATTGCGTTTATTTATACTAAATATGATATTCTGATTAAAGAGATGAATGGTAATGTCATGATTTTAATTTTACAAAGTTTAATGTTAAATCTGGGAGAAATTATTGATTAAATTATTTTTAATTATAGTATTATAAATAAATGATATCAAAAAAAGTATATAAAAATCAAAACTAATGATAAATAAAAGAATTCAATACAATAAATTTGCATATTAATAAAAATAAAGTAGATAAAAATTTAATAAAAAAGTAAATAAATTTGAATTTTATAACATTAATTCATGAATTTTTAAATCTATCTCTAATAACTTCTATTAGAGTATTTAAATCTGATTTAACAAATTTATTTTTAACTTTTTCATCCTCCAACTTATTTAATAATTACCCTTTTTAAACATCGTTTTATAATTTAAAACTTGTTATTTCCTCTAATAAAGTTACAGTGTATTCATCATATCGTATTGAAAAATAATTGGTAATTTCATAATCCTATATCTTTAAATCAATAAAATCAATTAAATTGATATTTTAATTTTTTATGGCTACTTCATATAAGTTGGTCAGAAATATTAATAATTCTTATTAAAAATTAAAATATTTATAATTATCTGGTAACTTAATACAGACCTTCTAATTTGAATAACTAATATTCAATTGAATAGATGAAAAACCTTAAGTTAAAACATTTCTAAAATTGATACAAATTTAAGTTAATTCTTTGTATTTATTTTCAATAGTCTAAATAATTCTAATAATTGAGAGAAGCTAATTATTTTACTAAAAGAGAGTATAAGATAAATTCTTAAGGAACTCTTAGTGCTATGGAACATATGTTTATAAAACAGATTTTCTTAAGTCAATTTATTCTTTGACACACCATGGATGAGTAAAAATATCTTCAAATGATGTTCTCTTTTTAGGATCTTCTACAAGCATCTTACGTATTAAATCTTTACATTCAGATGAGACAACAACTTACTCAGAAAAAGATATCTAAAATTAACTTTTATTTTTACATTCTATTTTTCAATTTCTTTAATAAGATCAATTACTGTAGCTTTTTTTGGGATAAAAGGTGGTTATCCATAAAGAATTTAATAAATCATTACTCCTAAAGACCAAATATCACATTTATGATCATAATTATCATTTTTTCTTTAAAAGTATAATAGAATAATTACTTTAGTATTTCAGGTGCCATTGTAATTGGTGTCCCACAATATGATTCCATTAAATCACTCATTACTGACTTAGCAAATCCAAAATCACCTAACTTAATTTACATTTATTCATTTATAAGAATATTTGCTAATTTGAGATCACGATGAACGACATTTTTTAAACGTAACATTTTCATAGCATCTAACAATTAAAGAATTAATGGTTTAGCTTCACTTTCAGCTAATCTATTTTTTGCAGAATTCTTTTTGATGTACTTTTCTAAATCACCAAGACCACAATACTCAAGTATCATATTTATTGAATCAGATGTATATTGTACTTCTTTTAATTCAATAATATTTTAATGTTTGATAGCTTTCATTATTTCAATTTCTTAATTAAACAGTTATAACATTTTTTCTTTATGGGGTCCTTCTTGCATATCAGTACTAATTTGTTTAATGGCAACTATTTCTTTTGTTTTTACATGTTGACCTTGATAAACTATTGCAAATGCGCCCTAAGAAGATTTAAAAAAGTTCTAAATACCTTGCCAATTACTTTTAAGATTTAGTAATTCTATATCGGATGTTTACTCATTATTTAAAATAATAAAGTGGTTTTTTCTCCTAATATTTAATATCAAATATTATTATGAATTCTATTATTTATTAGGATTCATTGATTTAATATGGAACCATACTTAAAAATATAAAAATTCAAGAATCCATGTTAATTAATCTTGAATGCTCTAGTAAATATAAAATTTATAAATAAAAAATAACATAAAATAAATAAATACATAATTAATATGATAATGAATCATTTAAGAAATTGTGGAAAATTTTCAACTCTTGTGTTTGCTGATCATTCAAGTGGAAAATTATCAAAATCAACACTTAAAATCTTAAATGCTGCAAAATAATTGAATTAATAAATATCTTTATTAGTAGCTAGTAATGATGCAAATTCTGTAGTTGATTAAATAAAATAATCAATTCCAAATAATGTTGTACATTAAGTACTTGTAGCATAACATGATTCATTAAAAGCACCATAAGCTGATTTATTAGGTAATTTAGTAAAATAGTTAATTGATTAACATGGATTTACTAATTTTGTTACAAGTACATCTACTTTAGCAAAAGACTTCTTACCAAGAGTTGCTGTTAAATATGCAGCTTAACCTATAACAGATGTGATAGCTATAAATAATGATGTATTTCTAAGACCTGTTTATGCAGGAAATGCAATAGCTTAAGTAAAATCAAATGATAAAGTGAAATTCATTTCATTTAGACCTACTAATTTTGAAGAAGTATATATAATATTAATATATTATTAGATTCAATAAGTTGGTGAAAAAGTATCTAATATTGTTTAAGTAAAAGTAGAAAATACAAAATAATTGATTGAACATGTCTCTGATGAATTAGTATAAAGTGATAAGCCTGAATTGACTACTGCTAAATTTGTAAGTCTTATATATTCATTATAGATTGTATCTGGAGGTAGAGGATTAGGAAGCAAAGAAAACTTTAAAATATTAGATGATTTAGCAGATGTATTGGGTAATACAGCAATCGGTGCTTCTAGAGCTGCTGTTGATGCAGGATATGCCGCAAATGATTAATAAGTCGGATAAACAGGAAAAGTAGTTGCACCTGAATTGTATATTGCTGTAGGAATATCAGGAGCTATTTAACATTTAGCAGGAATGAAAGATTCTAAAGTTATTGTAGCTATCAATAAAGGTATTTACATACATATATCAATTATTATAGATTCAGAGGCACCTATTGTTAGTGTTGCTGATTACACCATTGTTGATGATTTGTTTAAAGTAGTCCCAGAGTTAACAAAGAAAATTAAAGAAATTAAATAATGATATAAAAAAATGACGTAATTTATAAATAAAAATAATGAATAAATACATTATATTGGTGATACTTTTTGGTTTATGTTTTAGTTCTAGTTTATCAAACTAAGAAAAATTCTTTTGTAAATAATGTCATAGGTTTGTGCATACAATTTAAAAGGTTGAACATTTTTGGGATAAGTCAATTGTTTGGTTTTTGGAACTGGTGGCAGAGGGATATTGTGCTTATGCAAAAATTGAAAAACATTCAGTTTGTAAAGGAGCAATTCATGAAATGACACCTGTAATTTTTGAAGGAATTCAAACAAGATATTTAGATGAAGATTTCATTTGTCCCTTAATTAGATGGTGTCCTAAAGTTTACGAAGAATTAAAACTAGAAGATTATATATCTAATATATTAAAAGATAAACCATTAAATACCTAATGGCCATAATTAGATGGAACTGATACTATTGAAATTATTCATGTTAGTGATATTCATACAGATTTGTTTTATAAGGAAGGAACTTTATCTAAGTGTGATGAACCTTTATGTTGTAGAGAAGAATTTAAAGCAAAAGATGATTAATCAAAAGCTGGATATTGGGGAAGTGCTGCAGTTTGTGATTTACCAGAGAGAACTTTTGAATAGTTTGTAAATTTCTTAAAGACAGACGTTATTAATCCAAATAAAAAAACTTTTTTGTTTTGGACTGGAGATAGTGTATAACATGATGTTTGGAAATAAGGTAGAGAATATAATATAAAAAACTCAAGAAGAATTACAGAAATATTTGATAAAGCTAATTTAGGTATTACATTTATTCCTTAAATTGGAAATCATGAAGCATTTCCTGTAAATTAATATGATTATATGAGTGATAAAGATAGTAATTTAAGAGTTGAATTTTCAAATATGTGGAGAGAATGGCTTGGAGATGAAACTGCAGATTTTTTCAAAGAAAATGGATTTTATGCAAAAGAATTTGATAATTTTAAAGTAATTGCATTTGATTCTTAAATTTGTAATCCTGATAATTGGTATCTTATAAAAGATCCAACTGATCCAACAGGATTTTTAGAATGGGCTGAATAAGAATTAAAATAATCAGAATAAAAAGATTAAGCTGTTTATTTTACTGCTCATATTTATACATCAAGTTGTCTTGTTCCTTGGGCTAGAAGATTTAATGCTTTAGTTGAAAGATTTTCTTATATTGTTAGAGGATAAATATATGGACATGCTCATGGAGAATTTTTCAATCTTTATAAGGATTAAAATGGAGAACCAATGAATGTTGCCTATATTAGTTCATCATTAACTACATATACTTATAAATTACCTAGTTTTAGAAAGTTTGTTGTTGATGCAAAAACTATGATTCCTATGAATTATTATGAATATCGACTAAATTTAGATAAATATAATGCTATTGGATAAGATGCTATTCTAAAATGGGATATTGCTTTTGATTTTCTATCAGAATATGGAACCACTAAAATGTATCCAGCAGATTTATTTGCTATTACAGAAAGACTATTTAAAGAACCTGAATTAGTCAAAAAATTTGATTTTAATTCTAATTCTGGTTTTGGATTAAGTGGAGATTCTGTAATATTTTCAATTCAAATTTTAGGCTAAATATTTATATTGTAAATTAAATCATAGTATTAATGATGATTTACATTTATGTCTAGGAGAAAAACTTAAAAAAGAATGGACTGAATATGTAACTCCTGGATGGAGAAAAAGAAAAGTCTATTCTACTTAGAAAAATTAAAAAAAGAAGTCTAAAAAATAAAAGAATTAAAAATAATGATAAATTATTACATAAAATAAATAATTTAATGAATTTTTATGATTTACTCTTTTTTTTAACAGTTTTTATATATTGGATATTGTATTTGACTTTCTTAAAAAGGAACAGAATTGTATCCATAAGATTATGTATAGAATAATATTAATTGTTATTTTATGGGATTAAAGATGATTTTAAAATTCTTATAGATGTATAATTATATACAAAAAAGATCATTCTATGGGGATTGATAATTTTGAAAAGAATAGTAAAAAAAAAATAAATAAGAAGAAAAGAGAAAAAATGATTTATCATATAATAATATTTAATTTATATTATGGATTTTGAGGAATAGGATGATGAATGTATGATAGATGATCATTTATATAATTTAAAAAAGGAGGAGGATTTAAAAGTTGATTATTAATAACTTGAATAGAATGATTATGAAAGTAAAACATGTGCCAAATTATTACAAAAAAATAAAGAATATCAAAAGTCATTGGGATATTTTAAGTAATATTTAGAAAAAAAAATAACAAAGAAATAATAGCAAATATAATAATTAGAATAGATTCTTGCAACAATTCCAAAATAAGAAGAAGAAATAAATCTAAAAGAGAAATGTTCGGCATATATAACTTTGGAAATATTACATGATTCAAAATAAAGGAAAATATTTTCATATGCTGTAAATGATTTTGAGGTGTTAAAATAAGAGAACTCTCCTTATTATGTGAAATTGATTTAAGATTTAAAAAAGAAAGACTTAAAGTTAAAAAAGCTAGATTATACATCTCCAAGATTTAGATAGCAATGTAAAAAGAAATAAAGATAAAATATATTAACTTAAGCAATACAACCTAAAAATACTTAAATAAGAGAATTAATAATAAAAGAAGTTGTTAATTGTTTACCAAATGACGGACATGAAATTTAATGGTCATTATTACCAATTCATGCAACATAATTATTAAATATATATACAAGTGATTAGAATAGTATAGAAGTAATAGAAATATATAGAATTTGGTTAAAGAAGTATCATTAATTGTACAACAATTAATTTACATTATAGGAAGATACAAAATTAGTAGAATTAGTATAAATGATAGGAGATAATTAATGGGCATATTTGGCTAAATTAATAACAACAAAGACTTCAATTTAATTAAGAGAAAGATGGTTTAAATTTTTAAATAAGAATATAAAGAGATAAAGATGGAAGATTTTGGAGGATTTAAAATTAATAATATTAGTAGATTATTTTGGAGTTGGATAATGGAATAAATTACATTAGTTTTTTAAGAATAGAACAGAAGTATAAATAAGAGAAAGATGGTGTAATGTATTAGATCCTGAATTAGAGATTCGTTAATGGACAGAAGAGGAAGATTAAGAACTTTTAGCATTAAATTAGAAATATGGGAATGCTTGGAGTGTTGTGAGTTTAAAATTAAAGAGAACAGATAATGAATGTAGAAGAAGATTTCAATAAATTAAAAAATGATTCTAAGTTTATATACTTAATATATATTTTATGCTTGATAATCCATTTTAATTTGAAAGAGATCCTAAGAAGTTTACAAATTCTTTAGAATATGATAGAAATGCTGTTGAAGAGGAAGATGATTAAAAACAATAGACAAGATTAACATAATTATATATTGGTAAATCTGCAAGTAGATATGGATTATTGAGAAAATTAGAAGAGTAGAGTAAATTTATTTTATTTAGCTTAAGCTGAAAAATTGGCAGTAGAAAGAGATCTTGTATTTTCTTAAGATTTAAAATCTAAGAGTTTTAATGTTAAACCAGATCCAATTTAATGTCATTTGAAACAATTTAATCCAAGAATGCTTGAAAAAAATTATTAAGACTCTTTATAAAAAGCTTATAAAATAAAAAGTATTTTAAGTGAGAAAAAAGAAACACTTTAAGATTTTGTTGAAAAGAAAAAAGAAATTTGTTTAACAAATCTAAATATATTAACAAAAAAAGAAGAAACAAATAGACTTGAAGATTTTATTAAAAATGAATAGGAGTCTTTAAGAGCAAGAAAGTTATATTTTAAAAATGATTGTGAATTGGTAAAAAGATTTATGAGTGAAGTTAAATCTTAAGCAGATTAGGCTGCAATTTTAGCTGATAAAGAAGTTAGAAGAAAAGAAGAAGTTAAAGTTGAAGTAGCTAGAATATTAGCATAAATAGATAGATTAAAATTATAGAAAAGTAAACTTTAAGATGAATATGATAAATTAGATAAATATAGATAATTTTTAGAAAAAATTAAAGTATAAAATATTTTTTATATTGTTTAGTAACATTATAAAACTAAATTTTCAGAAATTGAGAAAGATATTATTTTACCATAAACAACAGCTAATTCTAAAAAAGCATTATTTTTAACTGGAGTTAATGTATTAGAATCTGAAACTAGATCAAAAGAATAAATGGAATAATTATAATTTGAATATAAATAAAATAAAATGGCTGATATTGTAATAGAAATTTTAGATGCTATTGAAGAAGGTAATTTAAGAAATATGTAAAATTAAAGAGATGCAGAAGAAGAAATTGAATAAAAAAAAAGAGAAGCTAAACATTTAAAAGAGATATTAATAATACATTAAAAAGAAAATGAATAAAGATTCAAAATATTAGAAAAACAATATATAATGCATTAATAATATTAATAAGAATTAAAAAAATAAGAAAAAGTTGATTAGAATAAGTTAGAATTTGCAGAAGGTGAAAATCTTGATATGGATAAAATTGGAAAAAGAATAATAGAAATATATTCAGATATTTCTAAGAAAGAATAAGATCCTTTAATAAAAAAATTAGGAATTGATTCAAAAATGCTTAAATTTACTTTGAATGTAATTAAATTTAAATATATTTATTTATTAGTAACTTGAAAAGATTGTTTTAGAACTTTCAGAATATAAATTATAATTTCTTATGAAATCAAAATAAGATTATTTAGATGCAGAAAAGAAAATTAATTAAAAAAAAAAGTAAATTTTATATAATTATATTTATTAGAGAACAAAGATAAACTAATTAAAAAGATGAAGAAAAGAAAAAATAAATAATTGAAAGAAGAAGAAAAAAAGAAGAATAAATGGCTAATTTTTATAGAGGAAGAAAAGATATGAGAAGAAATTATCCAGCAGAAAAAGTTGTAGTAGAAGAAGTTGTTGAAGATAATGATGAAAATGATGATGAAAAATACTTATAAGAAAGTTATGAACTAGTCTATGTACCATAATAAAAAGTTGATAATATTTCATAATCATAATAATTATAATAATAATAATGACTTAATGTATGGATTCGTTGGAATTGTTAAATCTAAACAGACAATAAGATTTAAAAATCTCTAATCAAATACAATTGCCTTCAGAATTTAAAATGTAAACACGCAATAATTCTTAAACTAACTTAAACTAGAATTCTAATTAGAGTAGATAAAATACTATTGTTAGTCGTCAAAATTCTTAAATGAGTCAAAGAAAATAAATCAAAGATAATGGATACCATAGGATTGCTTATTAATAATAAATTAAAAAAAATGGAATAACATTAAAACGAAAAAGATCAGTTTCATCGATATCTAGTACATCTTCAATGCAATAATCATTTCTTAAAATGGAAGAAAAGATGAGGAAATTCAAAATTAATCATCCTGAAATTATAGATCAAAAATATATGATTTCTGGATATTTAGAACTATGCAAAGATTATAAAAATTTAGTTCTTACAATTAGAAAATATGGATAAGATTTAGATGCAGTCTTAAAATTTGGATTAAATGAATTAAAAGAAGATAACATAAACAAGATTGATTAATTCTTTGAAAATCATTCAAATTTACTATCAACTAAAGTTGATGATTATTTTAAAATTAAAGAATGTTTCTATAGATTTTTAAGAATGAGAATATAAGTATATAAAATTATTATTTTAGGAACCTTATTATTATAGAGTAAAGAAGAAAATTCATCTTATTGAAAAGCAAAACAATATTTTTGAAACTTTTAGAATTTATTTAGAATCATTTAAATTTATAAATAAAGATGGTTTTCATTATTTTAGAGAAGATTTAGAAATTATGAAAAGTTTTAAAAGCCCTCCAATTCAACAATCTTTTGGGGAACTTTTTAATGAGAAAATTGAGAGACTTAGAGAATAAATGGATAAAACATAAGAATTAAAAGAAGGTTAAGTATTAAGTTAAATATTTGATCATAAAATTTAATAAATTTAAAGTTGGAAGTAATTGATAATAAAATTAGCATATTTTTAATATATTTTCAACATAAAATATCTATTGAATACAAATACAAAAACAAAGAAAATAATTAAAAGTAAAAAACTATATGATTAATTATTTTAACTTTTAGAAGAAGCCGATTAATTTTTAATTGAAAATTTTTCAATAAGTTAAGTTTATTAAGAATAGATATCTGAATTTAAATGTAATTTTAATGAAATAAAATAATAAATTATTGAATGGAATGTTAAACTTAGAGAGAATAAATTTTATAATACAATTTTAACAATAGTAAAATAAAACTTATCACTTAAACGTGTAAATTAATATTTAGAAACTATAAAATTAGTATAAATTTTTTTAATTTATAGATAAGAGAATAAGAAGATTATGATTAAAGAAATGAAGCAAAAGCAACAGATTTAATAGTAAAGACAAAGTTATAATTACAGAGTAATGCTCAAATCATACAATAGATAAAGAATTGTGATTAAATAAAGGATGACGAATTTATTCAAAAGTAGTTTAATAAATTTGTTATCTTAAAGGATTATTTTTAGAATTTAAAGAATGAGTTTGAAATTTGAATTATTTATTTAATATAATTTTTTTATTAAATAAAATGATGTCTATTGGGTAATTATGATTTTCCCATGATTATAAAACACAATTATCTCTGATAATGATATAAATATATATTTATTCAAAAATCATCATCAATATCTTAGATGACATTAGATTTAGCTCGTCCTCCTTTAACTAATATGGATGATAATAATAATAATACATGTTTAATATTTAACATCATTGAGATTATCAAATGTAGCATCACCAAATAATAATATCTAAGACTCTTCAACAGTATGTTTAGTATAATCATTTAATATATTTTGAATTAGATCCCAATCAGGACAAAGTTGTTTAGATAAGTTTGAACAACTTTTACACCTTAAATTAAATTATATTTCATTTGTGCATTAACAGAATTCTTTAAATTAAATTTCTACATTCAAATCAACAGGAAATCTATCATCTTTTTATAATTTTGAAGGATCTAAATCTTCGTTCCTGAAACTCAATTTACTTTTAATATAGAATTTAGTTTTTACTTGTCTTCTATAAAGGCTGTATTAAAAGAAACTCGAAACATTGGTTCTACTTCAAAATGGCCTCATTATTACATTTATAATAATACCATTATGATTAAATTTTATCATTATGTCTCCAATAGCCAAAAAAGGTTTTCCTATATTAATTCTAATTAATTCAATATCTTTCAACATTAGATCTTTGGCTTTCTTTTAATCTTTATACTACAGATTATATTAGTATTACCTCTAATTTATCAGTGTATTTTAAAGTCTTCTAAGAGTTTTCATATGTATAAATTTCTAAAAATGGTTTACATTATTTATCTTAAATATCAGGTATCCCATGAATAACTATAGAAGTTAAATACTTAATAGTTGGATATATATTTCTTTAAAATAATATTCTAAAGATTAATTGATAAATTAAAACTTTTCAAAGTATTAAACATATCTCAATTAAGAAGGCATAGTAATTCCACCTCCTGACAAATGTTTTTATTTATCATAATAAAATAATGCTTCTTCAGCATTAGAAAAGCGTCCACTATATAATAAATAACAACAAATTGCAGTTCCTGTTCTACCTATTCCATTAATACAATGCACAGCAACTACATTTGATAATTTTGCTTTGAATAAATTTATTAAATACAAGATAAAAAATCATCTATATGTTTACATAACATAAACAAATATCCTAAATTAGGTGTAGACTTTTCTTCCCATGGCTAAAATAATATATCTCTTCAAAATACAAAAGTGTAAATTTTTCCTTTGAATTTTGTATGATCATATTACATCCCACTCAAATTATAAATCTGATAATCATTATTATGTCGTTACTAAAAATATTAAGCAACCTAATAATTATTTACTAAATCTACATTATCTATTTTATTCTTATAATCTGGATTACCATCACTTGGAAATGACATTGCAATAATCCTTGGACATATATATGTGATATCCAATAAATCAGAACAAATGACATTACCAGATTTTTTGTTTTTTTAACTTGTCTTATTTGATTTAATTTTCATATAATTATAAAAAATTTTTAATATAATCATCTAAAGAAACTTATTTTAGATTTCAAATTTTAATTATTATGAACATTATAACAAAAGCATATTATAAAATATAAACTAATAGTAAAATATTTAAACTTTTTATCGATTCCAAATATTATTGATATTTAAGGTTTGAGTATTATGAAAATTGTGAATAAATAATGAATTAAAATTAAGAATTATTAAAAATAAATTATGCTTATTCTAATTTTCTTAAATTTTATAATAGGCACCCTATGTGTTAATAGAAATGAAAGCAAAGTTGTATTGGCTGATTTGTAATACTTATTAATGAATGTTAGTTACAATAAAAATTCGCCAGTTTTTGCGATAGCTCCATATTATGAATCGTATACAATTGATTTATTTAATTCAAAAGATGCTTTAGGAAATACAAGCTTTAATAATATAACTTCCACAAACTAAGATTTGACTATTTAAATTACTCCTTTTATTTAAAATACTTCAGAATCTATAGAGTAAGTAATTAATACATCTTAGATCAGTATTTTGTCCAATTGATGAATGGGGACCTTTATATTAACCTGCTCGTTTCTACCTTAGTTTAACAGCTATAGATCTATTATTTTATAATTAAAGTGAAAATAAAATAGTTTAAGTTTAAAGTAGAGTGCATAGAGATTTATTTGAATTAAATGAAAATTTTGTAAACATTTCTTGTTATTCCATATTTTAATTAAGAAAAGATACTTAATTTGGATTAGATTGTGATGTTAATAATAATGCTACATTTCTTATTTTTGATTTAGTATATGATGAAAAATCATTGATCATAGTAAATTTCACTTTTAATACTTATTATTATTATACATATAAAGTTGAGGATAATGAAAATTTCCTTAAAAGATGCAAATTTAGAAAAACTATGAATGTCAATATTTTTGATGCTATTAATGCGATAAAATTGGAATTCATTTAATATTGTCCTAGTTTATTTAATTAAAAAGCAATTACAAATCAATTTTTAATAATTTATCATGAAAAGGAAAAAAGACAAAACTAGACTTTGGAATTATAAGCCTTAAAAATAAATATTACAGATTTAAAATCTTGCAAAATAGAGGATGATTCTATGATTGAATAAATATTTGTAAATTCAATGATTAATGGATATGATAATTCTACTTGGAACGTTGGATTTTTATTTTAATCATCTCCAACAATATGTAAATGTAACATATAAGAAATGGTCTAATCTGATTATTAAATTAATTGCAACAGTACAATAATAGAGCGTATTCATATTGATATTTTATAGTTTATTAGCCAAATTAAATAAGAACTGTATAAAATATGAATGATGAAGTAGTTTTAGTGACTGGTACTAACATTGCAGTTTTAGTTATTTATTTGGAAAGATCATATCAATCTGAAAATTATTTTACTATAAGTTATAAATAGATTTTTGAACCAGGTTATTTATTGGTTGATGTGTCTATTACTAGTTAATATTTAGCTGTCATTATGACTGATTCTCCATTTTATTAACAAATGTCACCATATTATTCTAAACCAAATTTATATTGTACACATTAAGCATCTGGAGAATTTAAAAATATATTAAAGATTTTTTATTTAAATGCTGAATATATGACAGTTTTTTATTAAACAGATACTTTCAGTTAATTTCAGAGTTTCTTTTAGAGTTTAAATTATATAGACTTTGGCAATTTCATTTTGTTATATAATTTCTTTAATTAGAAACTTAATGTTATTACATTATTTCAAAAGTATTATTATCATAATTATATTTAGATAAATGAATGTATCCTATTAATTAGGTAAAGATGATTTAAACTAAACTTACAATTAACAAATCGCTCCAGTTATTGTAAAAATTATTATTTTCATTTAGATATCTTTTAATATTACAGGTGGATACTTTTCATATGATTAAATTTCAGATATTTATAAATACAACATTGTTACTTTTCGTAGATACATTATTTTATGTTTTATCAAATTAGAAGATAGTAGTTTTTAATTGATTGCTCAAATACATAAACTTAATGAAAAGGAATAATAAAATTTAACCTAATGTCCAATAAGCAAAGATATATTTGTTTTCCAAGAAATTATAAATTCAATAGATTTATTTGAAGGAGTATTTTCTTATATAAAATTATTTGTAGATTATGGGTCCATTTTTAAATTTTAATTATGTTCCTAATTATAATATAAGTAGATTTTATCCATATTATTAAAATCATAAGGCTATTATAAAGCAAAACAAAGTCCTAGATGATCAAACTGAAAATAAAAGAAAATAAGTATTTAATGTATTGAGTGCTGTGAATAAAAATATATTTATCACTTCCAATATTTTTGGGATTGTTGAGATTCTACTAACTTATTAGTCTGATGGCAATAACAAATCGAATTATGATGAATCTATCATTATGAATAAAACATGTATTATTAATGCAAAAGAATATGTAATGATTCTAAACATTTAACTTTTTAGCCTAGCTTTGAAAAACAGTTTCCAATAGATATCGAAATTTAGTAGTGCACTTAAGAAGTTTACAGAGATTTAAATAGATTCCTTACTCAAGTAGATTATTATAAATAATTTGAATATTATGACATTGCTGTTTAATATTAAAATTCTATGTAAGCATAATATTATTTATGAGATTAGTATAGTTGTTTGTCAAAGAAAGATGTTCTCAGAAGTTATTTCGAAATGTTAAATTATCAAAAATATGAAAAAATCAAATGATTCTATTGTTTAAATCTGTATTCTTCAAGGACCTATAAAAAATGATAGAATATCGTTCTTTTTTACGATTCTTTATCATTCAAATTAGTCAAAACTATTCTTTTATTTTTTAGAAGTTTTAGTAAAATAATTTGATTAAATAGTAGTTAAGCGAATTTAACCCAGATATTTAAGCTATTTCTTATAATGATTTAGAAACACATAATTAGATAATTTCTTTTAGATACACATATATTAATTAACAAACTTTATTCATTCTGTTTTCGAATTCTTAAATAATTGTTTATACTCCTGGACCCAGTAATTCAAAAAAGGAAATTAAACTATATAATTTTACATCAACTTTGACTAATATAGTTTTGGATATATATGAATGTTAGAATAACAGTTTTATAGGTTTTGAAATTACAAAATATTTTTAATCAAAATTAGCAAAATAGTATTTGATTGTTTGGTGTTAGGAATATAAAAATGGAAATTATATTCCAATTATATTGTAATATATAATTACTAATATTAATTAAATTAATTTTTGGAGAAGATTGCCTCACTATGATACTATTTTAACTAATAAATCAAAAATACTAATTTCTGGTTTAATTTTGTATGTACCAATAATGAAAAAAAGTTTATATAATGATTATTTTTAAAACTATTACATTTATAATTTAGAAGACTATACAGCTAGATCTTTGGTAGAGAAGATAGAAATTGAAAAGAAAAAAAATGAATTGATAGTATACAGTATTATTTTAAAATTAGATAACATATCCTATAAGTAACTTAATGGATTCAGTGATAGCTGGATCATCTATTAGTTTAACATTGATTATAACAGAAAAGAAATTCGAAATTTATTATCTTAATTAGAAGGCTGAATTTATATTTCATCTTTAATAATAATTTATTGCTACTTATAATGATTCCCCTTTTGTATTAGTGATTGGAGTATTTTAACCTTAAAAGACAAAAACTCTATTCAGGTATGAAGTATATAAATAATATAAGAAACTACACATTAGTTTATAATTTTTCAAGCACTCAAATATCGTTTGCATATGATGATTCATCAAATTATAAGGTGAGAGTATAATAGGATAATTTGAGTATTACAGGAGGATTTTATTAGTACCTCTTTTTAGTTAATGTAATTTTAGTAATAAATTTGATAGTAATCTTATTTTAATGGACCTATTGCATCTTATAATTACTCTTATGAAGAAGATTTATCAATAGTTCCATCTCCATATTTATAGATGAATAAATACTTAGGGGAATATATGATGGATGTTTCATTTTTTGGAGAAGTTACATAAATAATAGATTTAGGAGATGAAATTTATATTGGACTGTTTAATCAGCTAATTGAAAATAGTAATTAATTTAATTTATTTATAGTTACATAATATAATGATTTAATAGTTGTATTGACAGACTTTTATGTTCTATTTTATCAAAAATAGTCTGTTCCAGATACAAATATATCATGCACTTATTTTAATTATACTTAAAATTATTAAACAAATGTCTCTTCACTTTGTTCTATTAGATTGATTAAAGTACATTAGTTGAAACAATAAACTTAAAATTTATATTGTTAAATGTAATTAAATGGAGTAAATGTATTGATTATAGTTTGTTAATTAAAATACTTTTATAAAGAAAGTGGTAGGATCTCATTCTAGGATAGAGAAAATACCTAATAATTTATTTATTTAGAATATTCATATGTTTAAATAAATAATTCTGTGAAAATTTTAACAAATGTCAGTAATGATAGATAATTTTGTTACTGTTATTTTAATGATTTATAACCTTTTCTTTATAATAATTCGGTATATCAAATGGTTAAGACTGGATATTAAAAAATAAATACTTATTTTGGAATATATTAAATAGTCTTAACAAATAATAATAATACTATATAATTTATATAGCATAGTTCTTATCCTAACTAAAATAATTCATAACCATTTTAATATGCAGAAGATTTTGCCTTGACAGTAATTGAATATGAATCTATTCAATATTTATACTTAATAATTTTGCAACCAAATAATATATTTATTTAGGTAATAAATTTAACTAAAGATTTTCCAATAAATGGGCCTGGTTAAAATCTTATTTTTTTAGAATCTGAACAATATGTAAGAAAGGAAAAAGCAGTTTTTATTCAAGCAATTAATCATTTTTAACCTCATGTTGTGAATCAATCCAACTTAGATTAAGCTTTGTCAGTTGGAAATAATAATCAAATTTATGAAATAATTTTCAATGTTCTAACATTTTAAGCTAAATTATCATATACCTTTTATTAATATTTACTATGTCATCATAACTTTTTATCTCGCCCTTAAATAGAACTTTCATATTAAAATGATTCCATATTTTATTTGGTGAGCCAATGTTTATCTAATCAATTCGAATATTAATCTATTTAAGTTGAAATGACTTACCTTCTCAACGAATTAAATACTAATATCGTATATACATCACTTTTTATAAGTATGATTTAAAATGATTAATTTAGGAAATTATAGTCGTAATTATTCAAGACCAGTAGAAATCTTAGAACCTTACTTGGTTAATCCAGAAGAATTACATTTTTAAAAGATATAATTATATTAATCTATAGATACTTAAAAAAATTCAAAGTCACATTTATTGATTACAAATAGCACATATTTTTTGATTGATTTAATATTGTATGCCGAAAATGGATACTATTTATATTATCCCATAGTTTAAGCTAATAATGATAGAGTAATTATATTTGATATTAAATTTAATAGGATCATTCTGTATTTTTAAACATTACGGCTTATAATTCTTATTCAAACTATTAAGCTAAATTTGAAATCTTTTGGACAGAATAAGATAGTTAAGTTAATAGTAAGGCATGGTTTTATGCAATATTGTCAATATTATTGTTTTTACTTTTAATTGTGATCATTGTAGTTATCTATGGTTTTTGTTAAAAATAGAGTAAAATTGGCAAATAAGATCATAATTTACCTTTAGAGAGAATTGGAGATGATTAAAGTGAATATGGAGTAGAATTATAGGGTGCTGCATATAATTAATTAATGTTAGGAGATGTATTTAAAGATTTATTAAGAGATAATAAATCAAAGAAATAGACTATCTCATATGCTGATGAATTATCAGATTGAATAATTCAATATATATATATTAATATTTATTATTTATATGGGTTGTGGATTAAAGAAAGAAAAATAAGAAGACAAAAATGTGATAGCTTCACTAAAACCATTGATTAAATTTAAGATCATATTTTCAAATATCAAAATCAAAAATATTCCTCTTTAGAAAGCTAAAGTTCATTTTTCAATTGCTAATTAAGAATGTTTCTAAACTTAAATATCATAAAATAATCCTAACCCACATTGGAGATAAACATTTAGATCATTTCATGAAAGTGATTTAGAAACATTAAAATCAGAATTTTTCAAAATTGTATTCTACTCTTATTTATTCAGAGTGTATTTTGTGCTGAAAAAAATAAATGTTTTGCTTATGTTGTTTAAAATATGTGGGAAGTTGCAAATGGTCCTATTCATTATGATTTGTTTCTTGAATCAACTAAAGCTAACTCATCTAGAATTACTTTTGATTTAAGAATGGTTTAAATGACAACGTTAAAAATTTAAAGTAAATAAGTTATGTGTGAACTTAAAGACTAATTGATGGAATAAGTTTACAATTTTCAATTAAAAATTAGAGTATCAATTCATTATTTATAAGCAAGTCTCATTAAATGGATTATTATAGTGATTTCTCTCCTAATTATTTAAATCATTATTTGTACCGTTAATCATCCCTTAAATAATATGGATATATTGATTCTAAAGAAAAACTAAGAAGTGAATCCGATGAATTTCAATTAGTCAGAGATATCTTTGATGCATCTATTGAAGAGAACATTTAATAAGATCTTAAAAGTTGTTATTTAAAAAAAAATGCACTTAAAAATGATCAAGATTTAATTCTAAAAAAATCTAAATCTAATAATTAACTTAATACAATGATACATTTATCAACAAATTAATCATAAACTAATAAGTCTTTAAATTCTAGAAGACCTTATTCAACTATGGGATTAATTACAAAAAAAGATATATCATGGGAATTTAAAGTATAAGAAAATAATCCATTCATATCTTTTGATATTTATGTAGATGAATTTTCTAGTTCTTCTTTTGAATTCATTCTTTGGGGGAGTTCTAAACCAAATGAAAAATCTGACAATGTTAATGTTAGAAAAATTGGTAATTCCATTATTTCTCTTAATAGATTTTTCAGTTAAAATGTTAATGTTTTAGCTGAATTAGATAGAATCTCACTATAAGAAGTAAGATTCACTGATAAATTATGGATTCATGGTTAATGTGTGGGAAGAGTTAAAGCAGAATTTATTATTACTAAAGACACTTTTATTAGATAAATGTTAGGAGGATTCAGAACTGAAGAAGGAATCTAAAGATCATCTTTATTATACATTAAAAAAGATAAATATTCTGGACCATAAAGTCCAAATATTAATCAAATCATTTAAATTAATAATGAAATAGATGAATTAGCTGGTAAACTTAATTAAAAGAATCTTTAACATAGAGAAAGAGTTAAAATTAATAAAGCTATTAATTAAATCATTGATAAATTAAGTTCATTAATTAAAAACTAGGAGTTATATGAAAATCTTGAAGAAATGATTGCTGCTTAATTAGTCTTTGTAGATTTAACTAAAAATCTATTGGAAAGTGCTGATTTAATAGATGAAGATTTAAGAGATCAATATTATGATGTCCTTATTACTTTATTAAATAGAGATGAATTCTTCATTAGTTATTTAGGTTTTGATAAAGATCTTAAAGAAGCATATTCATTCAAAGATGATTAAAATTACAATTCTAAAAACAAAAAATTAATATAACAATTAAATTAGAAAATTAGAATTGGATTACATTATTAGAATTTCTTACATCAAACATTTGAGAAAGTTGCATTTAAATTAAATTAATAAGGATAAAATGATAAAGAAGAATTATTTGTAAATACATTTTTGGTAATTGCATTTTTCAGAATCCCATAATTCTAAAATTTATTAATTGAAATCTTGAAATAAGATCATCGATCACTCTAAGAAGAATTTGAAAAAGATTTTGGAATAAATTGCACTGATAATACTTTTTCTGCTGAATGGGATAAAAATTTTTATGATTATTTGTAAAGTGATCCTCGACATTAAGAACATAAAAAGCAATTAGAAGGTATACTTAATTCTATTGATTGGAAGAACATTATACTTACTAGCAAAGTTTTTTTAAAATGGTTTCAATTGATGTTAACCCATTATAAAAAAGCGAAACATCCATATGACATGAGTTTAACATGGTCAGGTTTTCCTGGCTATTTGATTTTGATTAAATATCTTTTATTAGAAATTAAGCATTCAAATTAATATCCATATCCAGAAACTATAAAGTAGGCTTCATCTTGTATTTTAGAAAATGAAAATATGTTAAATTATTTAGTAATTGTAATATTTCATAAAACTAAATTATATGATGGCATAGCAGTGTTTTATACTCTTGATATGATTAACGATTGGTTTGATATTTTGAAGAAATAAAATAAGAAAATTCCAACAGATTTTAATTATCAATTTTTGATGAAGGGTCTTTTCATGATTTTTGATGGCTAACATGCTTCATCCATAAGTAAAGCATTATAATTAATATTCAACATATTTCCATAAATGCCTATTGAGATACAAAAAGAAATTAGTGATCATATTTTTGATAATTGTTTTTTCAAATTTTTCATGTTTTGGAGTAAATTAGTAAGATTTGTGTTTCAACATTTTTTGATATATAGAATATAACATCGACTTAGAAATTATAGGCAGGAAAGTATAAGAGATATCTACAAAGAATTTGAATGTATAAAGTTATAAAAATAAAAATATACTGTTGAAGAAAAGGCTAAATTACTTAATCATCTCATTTACATTAGATATTCATAAATGATAGAATTGGTATTGAAAATTAAGAGAAAGATTGCATAACATAATTTGTAATAAGAAAGCTAATTTTAATTATAATTGGAGGCTAAATCACTTAAATTAAAGTTGATGAAAAAAAAATAACAATAAAAAAAATATTAGCATTAGTAATTAAGGAGAATGGAATCCCCAAGACATGATCAAATTGATATTTCATTTGAAAAATAATAGAGATCAAATATAAGTTTAACATTTAGTTTGAATGATCCTTTCTATAGTTCTGATATCAGAGAAGATTAAAAATCTTTTGAGTAATCAAATGAAAATTTAAAGGAGAATAATGGTTCTAATTATGATCAAAATGAAATATATTTGTTAGATAGAAGTATAAGTTCGATTATTAATTTGAATGATTTATTGGCTGATATTGATTAGGACAAGAAAACTTATGAGAAAAGAAAATCAAGGCATTCAAATAGGAATAACTCTGTTGAATTAAATTCAGAGAAGAGTCAAAAAAGTAGAATAGATGAAAATTAGAATCCTAAAAAGTTAAAAATATATCATAGAATCAGCAATTAAGAAAATATCAAAAAATCATTTACTAAAGAACTCTTATCCTATTTGTTTCCAGCTATTTAAGAATGGCAAGAATAATAAGCTAATTATAAGAGATGGTTTTTAAAAGCTTAAGCATTAATAAAAAAATAATTTAAATAAGACTTGTAGGAACAATAATTGATGGATATTGATCCACCTGAAATCAATTTGTATGTACCTAAAGACGAAACAGAGAATGAACATGTTTACACTGATCATTGACTAAATTTATTATTTTAAATCTAATTCTTTAACAAAAAGTCTAAATTTATTATTTTATACAAATATTATAAAAAATATTAAACTCAAACATATAATCATTTACTATTTCAGATAATAACGGTAAAGAAAATTCAACAAAATATAACGATGATTATCATAAATAAAATTTTATTTATACAAGATTATACTATGTTCTAAATTTAGATAAAAATGATTTATGATTAAGCAAAATTATCAACTTAATTAAATATATTCCATAATCTGATTAGTAATGTGATTTAATCAAATGGTTTCAATTTTTAAATTGAGAAACAAATAAAAAGAATTAAAAATTTAATTGTATAATTAACTAGATTATATCACACAATAAATTGAGAAACAAAACATTTTTAACTAATAATTCTCTTTATGTTTGAAGAAATGAATGAGAAGGCAAATAGAATAAAAGAACCTGAGGATAATGAAAGCATTTTAGAAGAACTAAAGAAAGAGTAATAATATATATCATTTAAAAGGTTATAAATTGATAAAATACTAAAAAATTATGATAAATTGAAATAAAATTTTGAAATAGCAGCAAAATAGATTTAAATTATTAAAAAAAGCTTAGATGAGTATACCAGTCAAGATAGATAATTTGGATTCAATTATTATGTGTTTAAGAATTGAGTTTAAAAGAAGAATTGAACTACAAAAAAAGAAAGTAAAATCAGAATGATTATTATGAAGATTACATATATAAATTTATTATATAATCAATTTTTCTTTAATAATAAACTTTATATCATCCCTTTCTCTTACATATACTTATAGATTAATTATTTTAAAACACTTTTATCTACAATAGTAAATAATAATAATTCATTTTTCTTATCAAGTGCTTAAGTAGCCATTAAAGTTTAAAATTTAGATGACTTTACTTTAATTTTCAATACTCTCCATTTTCTTATAAATAAGTTTTTTATTTCTTTATAATAATTATTCACAATAACACTTTAAACCTTACTAAATATTTAAAATTTGAAAATACATATCAAGATATGGTGATTTTATTATTTCTTCTTCAACATGATAATTAATTATTGTTTTTTACATTTAAAGTTTAATCTCATTTACTTCTAAAATTAAGAAATAATCATAATTTATTACTTTCTTAATCTTCTTTTTTAATTTCCATATAAATTTGATTCCAGTACTTATTCCATAACATGATAATTCTATTAGCATATGCTTATACTTTTTTTCTATAATTTCTAAAAACTTCTATAATTTTTCTCATTCTTCTTTTAAATTGATAAGTTTTTTAAAATATCTCACCAATTTATCCATAACTGAGCATAAAAGTATAAACAATTTTTTTGGCTTTCCTTTTTGCTCCTTTTCCTTTTACTTTTGATAACATTCTTAAGATCAAAAGACCTTGAAATAATGTTCTTTGAAATATATCTTTTCCAGATTTTTGTAACATTCTTTATAATACTTATCGAACTCTATATTACCTTCGTTTTTTTATAGATTATTTAAATTGAAATTTAATATTATCCTAAATATATAATAAAATCTATTACATAATATCTTTTTTTAATGATTGAAATCATTTAAATAAAATAAAGACTTTACAACCATAATTTCTATTGAAATTTTAAAAAGCTATCAATATTATTTCTATAAAAAATAATTTCTTTCAGTATTTTTTTTTTTTCTTAGAATTCAAATCTCTCTCTTAAAGTTTCCTTTTTTTCTTCAAATATTTATTTCTTCTTATGTAAAGTTTCAGATATTTTTCTAGCAGATTGAACTCTTCTAAGACTCTGTTATTGTTTAATTTTATCAGGTTAATATTATTCAATATTTTTGTTAAGTGAGATCATATCTTTAGAAGGTTTTCTTGTAAAGAAAAATTATGATGATCTAGTAAATTGATAACCAGTTGAAGGTCTAAATTTAGATTCATTTTCAATTTTTTATTGTTATTATGGTTTAATTCCAAAAGAAGCCTTTGCATATATTGTTGTAGCTTATTAAGAAAAAATAGCTAGATACAAACAACGTTATGTAAAGGATAAATGTTCACCCTATTCTGTATATCGAAGGATTTGTTTTCTTTCAAATGACTCTTCATTATTAAATCTGTTTGGAGTTATAGTATGACTTGAAATGTAAAACTTCATTTTAGCTTAGTCAGTGAATTAGAAATCTATTATTAATCAACTATTATACGAATGACTAGAGGTTTTTTATGACCAAATAATGGCACTTCAATATAATGGAATTAACAAAGATCAAGTTAAATGACATTTGTTAATCGTACATCCAAAATGGCTCTTTCTTTATGAATATATTGAATATCTGTTTATTTACGCTAACTGCTCATAAATGTAGGTGTAGACAAAGTAAGATTGTCACAAAAAATTTGTTTAATTTTACGTTCTTCAAGTTTTTAGATCATTTGGAAATTTTCATCATACTTCTCATAATTTTAATTCATTAATTAAATAATTGTCAAATAATAATAAGTAACTATAATAAATTAAATAATAAGTATAGTTATTGTATCAATTATAGTGAAGACTTGAATGTTTTTTGATAATTGACTTGACTTTATTATTTATTGAGTTTTTATTATTGAAATTCAATTATTATTATATATTTAAATTTTAAGAATTTTTTAGAACTTTATTAATAGAATGAATAGATGATGTTTTTGTTTTTTGAATACTTTACCTATTGTTATTATATTAAGAATAATTAATGTTCTTATTTAACATAGGTAATTATTGCTCAGATGATTCTTATGTATTTTTAATTTAAATTTTATCTCTATGAGTATTTTCATCGTCCCAATCATAAATATATTCAATTCTTAATTGATTTTCTTGCATGATTTAAATAAATAAATTTTTCATATATTTATAATCTGGTTTTTCATCAAACTTGAGATTCTTAGAATACTCAATATATTAACAAAATTATTTAGGACAGTTCTTACATAATGTTTGAGTTGAAGTTGCTAATTTTTTTTCCATGATTCTTTCATATTTTTCTTTTTAATTATTTGCTCTAAGATTTTACCAAGGTAATGATCCTCTTAAAAAATATAGTAAAACGTATCCTAAAGATTCAAGATCATCTCTTCTAGATTATTCAATTCCTAAATGAGTATTAATTGAAGCATATCTGGCAGTTCCTGTTAAAGCTTTATTATCCTTATAAGGAATGTGAAGATCTTTTATCAAATACTTTTTAGCAAGTCCATAATCAACCATATAAACTCTATCTTTGTGAGTTTTACCTAATAAAAAATTATCAGGCTTAATATCTCTATGAAGAAATTATTTATTGTGTAAATATTCAATACATTCAAGCATTTGAAGTGCTAATACTGTAACAGATTAAAGAGAAAAGAGACAATTGTTATCTGTAAATATATCTTCAAGACTCTTTCCTAATTATTCCATTACAAGAAAATTAAAATTATCTTATTACAGATAACCATAATATTTTGGAATACCTATTATTGGTTAATTGTTTAGATATTAGTATAATTTAGATTCAAAAAGTAACTAAGGATATTTAGTATCAGAACGCTCTATTTTTATTGCATACTCTTATCCATTTGAATTAGCCGAATATATTTCACCAAATGCTCCTGCTCCTAACTTTTTTATTAGTTTATATTGTCTACTTAATAGAGCTAGCTCTTTACTTATTTAATAAGAATCCACTCATATCCTTTATATTATATTCCATCAGTTAATTAATTAAATAATGGCTGATTTTTCAATTGAAAATGTGTGTTAGGCAATCCATGCATTAAACAAAGGTTAAGTCGATAAAGCTGATCCATTCTTGAGAACCTTCTCATAATCTAACGAGGCTTGGAGAATTTGCATTCAAATTTTATTGTCAAATCCAGATTCTTCATTGGTTTTTTAATTGTTACGCATTCTTAAGTCAAAAATCCTTTATGACTTCAGTATTTTTTATTTAATTTACATCCTAGTTTCCCTCAATCCATAGGAGATTCAACAGATTTATTAAAACTGCATTTAAATCATTCTCCATTACAGTGTATAAAATTAAAAATCTACTAGAATATAATGTGTACTCATGTTTATCTATTTATACTTATACACTTATACTCCATAAACTAAACCTATTTTAGAGTACAAAATCTATTTAAAATTAGAGTGATTTCTTAAATAGTGGATTGCCAAATCAATAGTTTGCATTAGAATTTTTTATTTGACATTATCGAAAACTTTCCAGAGGAACTCATTTCAAATAAAAAGATTATTATTGATGAAGAGAAAAGAAAATATATTGCTGAAGACATTAAAAATAAATAAATGTTAGACATTATACAATTTTTACAGTAAAGATGGAATAATCCAACAAATTAAAGTACCAGATTCTATGTATTACGTGCTTATAGAAAATGGTTGGAATTTATGAAAAATTATATAAATGAAGATGAAGTATATCTTTATGTAAATATTAAAGGCTTTACAATTCATGCAATTAATAACTCAAACTCCTTTATTTAAAGGAGCATTAGACTCAATAATTATTGAAGAATTATAAAGTAAAGCTGTTAATGTTATATGCACTTTTCTTGGAATTATTCCAAAAACCATTGCAGAATAAACTTCATTAGAACCTCAAATATTAAAAATCATCTTTGATGAAACTTATAAAACGTTTGCATTATGTAAAAAGGCTCTAGATGAAGATCAAAAAGATGAAATAAATAATTTGATAAGATTATATTCAAAACTTGGAAAAAAGTTTATTTACAAGATATTATTAAATGTATAATTAGAAGCATTTATATCTAATATGCTTTGGATATTTAGTCATGAAAATTCTTTGAATCAAAGCGAATATATGACTGATTTTTGGATTAAAATGATTAAAACTATTAGAATTTTGAATGATATGCAGTTATAAAGTAAATTTGCTTAGACTTTTGAATAACTTATAAATGGATGTATTAAAAAGAGTAAAGTCAATTTAACTTTATTATCTGAATATGGTATATCATCTAAAATTGAGGATTAATTTGAATAGTTATTAGATCCAAGAACTGATATGAAAGAGATTATAGAGGAATTAGCAACTATAATTTAACCTAATTAAATTCTACTGCATTTAGGATTGATTTTAAAGTAGGAATTCATAACAAAAATGAATGATGATGGATGGATCACTTTTGAAGCATGTATTTATTTAATAACTGGAATTGTTAAATAAATTACTCTTAAAAATGATTAAATTGGAGTTTAATATTTGATGGAAATTATTAAATTATATTTAGATGTTTATTCATAATAATCTTTAGCAAGTAATAATTTTATTATGAAGACTGGTAAATATTAAAATTATTAATTTGATAGTGTTTAAATTCATTTCTTAAAGTTGTGCTTAATTAATATCTTCTAATGAATTGTTGCCATTATTATTTAATTTCATTACAATTGGAATTCATCATAATGTGGAATCAGTACAAAAAAAAGCAACAAAAGCGTTTTAATTAATTTGTAAATAAAACTAAAGTTTTGTTTTAATGCATTTAAATTAATTTTTTGATTTAATTGTAAAATTGTAATAAGTGTATAAATTATAAGTATTATGTTAGTTAAAATTATGATAATTTAATAAAAGGTGTTGCAAATGCTATATGTTCAAGTAAGGAAACAATGTAGAATTATTATTTGAGATTGTGTTCAATTTTTGCCTAAAATCTTCTTTAATTACAAAAATAAATAGAAGAATAGATATTGTAAAACAAGAATATGGATTAATTAGAAAATAATATTGATTAATATAGTAAAAATATATCTTGTTTGGCATATGCAAATAGTTAAATTCCTATTAATGAAAATGAAGATTATTAGGAGATAAGAGTTTTGATAGTAAATGTTTATAAAGAATTATGGCCGATGTTGAAATTCGGTATGGAAAGAATAGTAGTTTATGAACCAAATATAGCTGAAAAGATTGTTAGATACACAAAACATACATTTAGAAAAGCCTTTAATTAATTTTCAGTGGATTTATTGACTTAAGTATTTTAATGTTTTTTAAATGTTTATCGATAAATGCCAATAACAGCATGTATATACATAGCAGAAGTATCAGCTACTGTATTTTATAAATATCCTGAATATAGAAATATTCTATTAGAGGCATTTGAAAGTCTATGTAATATAACTTTCTAACATTTGCCTCAATTATCAAGTTTTGAAGAGAATCCTGATTTAACAGAAGATTTATTTGGAATGTTAGTTAGATATGGTCGATACACACCTGTTTTACTGATGTAAAGTTCTGCTTTATAAACAATCTTATAACTTACATTGATGGCAATAGGATTAGAACATGTAGGTGCTGCAAAAACATTTTATTCTTGGTTGGAAGTTGCATTGAAAATACTTAAGCCTTAAGATGAAACATTCAAGACTTAAATACCATAAGAATATAAGGATAGTAATAATTTTAAGTAGAATTAGAATTTAAATAAATATTTATGCCTTTTGTACCTCAATATACTGTGAAATTATTTGAGGCTTTAAGAAGGGGAGCTGCAGATGAAGAGGTAGATGATTAAATTTAAGATTGTATACTTGAATTGTCCTAGTTATAGTTTATTGATTATAGGAAATTGTTAGAAAATGTATTTGAAGAAGGACCTTAAAATATTTTGACTATATCTGAGAAGAAGAATTGGCTAGAGTAGAATAAAGATTGTGAGATTTAAAAACATTATTTGAGATTGTATTCAAGAAGATGTATACAAAATACACTTAGGGGATGACAAACTTAAATGAATAATAATTCAATTATATATATATAGATTTTAATTTGATATAATAATATATAATATATATTATTAATAAAATGAGATTTTTATATTGTGATTCAAATGTAACTCCTGAGATGAAAGAAAAAATTAAAAAATTATTATTTGAGAATGCAGATAAATTAAATCACTAAAATCCAGCACTCTTTTTATAACAACTACTTAATAAAAATTTTGAAAAACTATGGTAAAAGATTTAATAGTAATTTGATTAGGTTTGTTTATGTAATTTATAGTCCTGTAGAATTGGAATACTAAATTAGAACAAATACTTAAATATGTAATATAAATTTTGATATTTATAGTAATTGATATTGAAATTGAGAAAACTAGATATATTTTGGCATAATTTGAGGAAGTGAGTGTAGGAACATTCTCTAAGGATAAGTTTATCAAAACTTGTTAGCAAATTGAAAAGAATATTCAATAGCAATCACATGACCTGAATTCAGTTTTACATGAATCTATAAAATATTTAGAATATAATTTTGGATCGAGTAGTCATATGATGCTAATTAAATGTAATGAATAGGAAACATAAATATAATTTAATGGTCCTAATTAGAATTAATATATCTTCAAAACTTAGATAAGTGCCTTAGAATCAATTTAAGGTGGAATATTTTATATTCCTTTGGGTGCTGAGGAAGATGAAGGAATGTAAGATTTTCATCATAGAAATACTTCAGGAGAAGAAGAATTTGATAATAATTAAATAAGAGATGAAAATTACATTTAAGATGAATATGAAGAACCTATGGATTTATAATTTTAAGTTATGCTAGATCCTAAAGATTTCAGATAATCAACAGATTAAGTCAAAGTTAGTTTTGATGAACTTGAAATTTAACCACTGAAATTGCATTCCTTTTCTATACTTTTTTAAATTATCATATCACCATTCCCAAAAGAAATAAGTATTTACATTTATAATCTAAATAGAGGATGATTTAAATGTATTATCAACTGGAAGTTCTTTAATGTCTAAAAATATGACATTTGGTATTAATAGAGATTAACTTTTCTTTTTTAATTTCTAACTTATGACTGGTAAAATGGAAACTCTCTATTCTTAAATGAAAATAAAAAGGAATCAGTAATATTAAGTAGCGCTTGTTTATACTGAAACTGAAACTTATAAGTAAAAATTAATCAATTCTATAAATTAGAGAAGTATCAATGTATATTAATGGAGCAATTGAAAATTAAATAAATTTATCATAATAATTAGAACCCCCAAGAGGATTCTTTTGGATTGGTTCTGAATAAGCATTAAAATTATTCAAGGGAACTCTTTGGGATGTCTTATTTATAGCTTAAGCATTACATTAAAAACACATTAAATCTATATATGCTGAACTTTAAAGTGCTTTGTCTCATAAATTCTAAAGAAAATCAATGGAAATAGTTGATGAAATATTGTAATAATTCAAAGAGGAAATTCCTATAGATCAAGATGAATCTAAATATACTCAACCCTAAAGTTTTTTGAAATAGTAATCTAAGACTCTAACAAAGGCAAGTAATAAGAAATTATAGATTCCTCCTCATTTATAAAAGAGTTATCATGTATTTGAAGAAATTGATAAAAAGAAATTTTAATAATAAGAATAACCTCATTAAAAAACTATTTAAGAATTTGCAAGTATTATTTTTATATTAATTTAAAAGATAGATTAAAATAACTGTTTGTATAAAATGAAATGTTATATCATAAATGTCATGAATTAAGTTTAAATTTCTATTGGGTATTTACTACAGTGTAGTAATTAGCACCACCATTAGAAGAAAATGGAAGTCCAAAATTACCATTTGAGTATATTCATTAAGAATTATTTAAAGAAAGGTAATATATGATATGATGAATTATTTTAGATTTGAAACTTATCCTTATTATGCAATAGAATTTGATAGATTTTGTAAAGTTGTTTAACATAGTGGTATTTAATTATCACATGATGATATATATTAATTAGCTGACATAACTGAATCTTTAAGAGATAATAAAAGATTTGGTCATTATTTAATATATGATCGATTCTTATTATCAATCAGATAAGCAGCATTAACTGAATAAGAAATAGAAGAAGTTAAGAGTTAATATAATACTGATGAAAAAGAAGCTGATTAAGATTTAATTATTTATACTAGAGGTATCTCAAGATCAAAACAGGCATAAGAACATAACTTTAGTTTTTTTGAATAATTAAAAGTATTAGTTGGATCTGAGAATGAGGCATTTAAATATAATATTTAATATCTTTTGGCTTACTTTGTAAATAATGATGAATTTGTATAAAAATTAACAGCTGTGTATATTCATAAAGAAACAGGGTAGGAAGTGGAAATTGAAGGAATCGATCTATTTTCTTATGAGTAGGATAAAATATTTTAATAGAAATTAGATATTTCTGAAGAGACTTAACCTAAATACTTCAGAGTACATTATAATGGTGAAAATATGGCAATGATATCATTTAAAACACATGAAGCAGAAGAAACATTTAGAATAGATAAAACATTTATATATAGAGAAGGATAAGATGCTACTGGTTAATTAGAAACTTATGCATTTGAATAATAGAGATTAGCTGGATTTAGAGGTAAAATTGTTAGAAAAGATGATTATTCTCAAATTATTATGTTAGCAGCAGAATATTTATAAAAAGATCCAAAAGTAGAGGAACAAAAACGAAATCAACCTGAAACATTACCATAATTACCCGAAAATTGGAATTAAGGAAAATTTTAACTAATTATTAATAGATGTTCTGATTGTGAAAAACATAAAACAACAACATGGCATTATGAAGCTGATTTTGCAAGTAAATTTAATGAAATTGGATAAATATTAAAAGATATGTTTCCAAATATTGAAATAATAGGAAATTGGGATAAAACATAATAATTAGAACATTTTGATGTATATATAAGAGGAGTTGGTTAATTAAATTAAATGGATAAGGAAGGTAGAGTATTTTTATTTAGAAAGAATGAAAAATTAGCTAAATTTTTAGATTGTTTTTTAAAGAGAATGTTAAAGGTTTATGATGATATAGTATTAATTGCATAAGCATATGGAGATACAAATTACATGGCTAGTAAATAAGAATAATTTTTGAAAAGTAATAATTATTCATAAAGATCAAAAATATCTCATGATCATCCATGCAATGTACCTGATAAATAAGAGAAATCAGAAAAAGGAGAAGCATAATTGGCTGGTATGGATTTTATTTGTAAAAATTGGGGTTGTGGATAACCATTTAAATATGATTCAACTCCAAATGGAATAAAAACATGTAAACATCATCCTGGTAGATATGAATTTGGATCTAAACATGGATTATGGCCAGAATGTTGGACATGTTGTGGTAAAAAATGGGAAGCAGAAGGATGTAGATTAGCTTATCATAAAGGTGTTCCTGAAAAAGATTTTTATAATATATGTATTAATGTAGGACCTTTAGATTCTAAAACTGGTTATCCTGAAGGAACATGTGGAATGAGATTTTAAGATGGTGATTCTTCTGAATGTAAATATAATTCAGGAACTCATTAAGCTGCAAAATGGCCAGATCCTGCTGCTAAAGTCTATTTTGTATAAAAAATACATACTGTAATTTTATTATTATAATTTATAGAATCCTGCATAAAAAGAAAAAGAAACATAACCTAATAAAAATATTTAACTTAGACCAGATGTATTTAGAGAAACTAAACCTTACAATGAATTTATTAATAAAGATAGATAAAGATAAATGAAATTAATTGAAACTGAAAAAGAATTAAGNGCAATGATATCATTTAAAACACATGAAGCAGAAGAAACATTTAGAATAGATAAAACATTTATATATAGAGAAGGATAAGATGCTACTGGTTAATTAGAAACTTATGCATTTGAATAATAGAGATTAGCTGGATTTAGAGGTAAAATTGTTAGAAAAGATGATTATTCTCAAATTATTATGTTAGCAGCAGAATATTTATAAAAAGATCCAAAAGTAGAGGAACAAAAACGAAATCAACCTGAAACATTACCATAATTACCCGAAAATTGGAATTAAGGAAAATTTTAACTAATTATTAATAGATGTTCTGATTGTGATAAACACAAAACAACAACATGGCATTATGAAGCTGATTTTGCAAGTAAATTTAATGAAATTGGATAAATATTAAAAGATATGTTTCCAAATATTGAAATAATAGGAAATTGGGATAAAACATAATAATTAGAACATTTTGATGTATATATAAGAGGAGTTGGTTAATTAAATTAAATGGATAAGGAAGGTAGAGTATTTTTATTTAGAAAGAATGAAAAATTAGCTAAATTTTTAGATTGTTTTTTAAAGAGAATGTTAAAGGTTTATGATGATATAGTATTAATTGCATAAGCATATGGAGATACAAATTACATGGCTAGTAAATAAGAATAATTTTTGAAAAGTAATAATTATTCATAAAGATCAAAAATATCTCATGATCATCCATGCAATGTACCTGATAAATAAGAGAAATCAGAAAAAGGAGAAGCATAATTGGCTGGTATGGATTTTATTTGTAAAAATTGGGGTTGTGGATAACCATTTAAATATGATTCAACTCCAAATGGAATAAAAACATGTAAACATCATCCTGGTAGATATGAATTTGGATCTAAACATGGATTATGGCCAGAATGTTGGACATGTTGTGGTAAAAAATGGGAAGCAGAAGGATGTAGATTAGCTTATCATAAAGGTGTTCCTGAAAAAGATTTTTATAATATATGTATTAATGTAGGACCTTTAGATTCTAAAACTGGTTATCCTGAAGGAACATGTGGAATGAGATTTTAAGATGGTGATTCTTCTGAATGTAAATATAATTCAGGAACTCATTAAGCTGCAAAATGGCCAGATCCTGCTGCTAAAGTCTATTTTGTATAAAAAATACATACTGTAATTTTATTATTATAATTTATAGAATCCTGCATAAAAAGAAAAAGAAACATAACCTAATAAAAATATTTAACTTAGACCAGATGTATTTAGAGAAACTAAACCTTACAATGAATTTATTAATAAAGATAGATAAAGATAAATGAAATTAATTGAAACTGAAAAAGAATTAAGAANACATTACCATAATTACCCGAAAATTGGAATTAAGGAAAATTTTAACTAATTATTAATAGATGTTCTGATTGTGATAAACACAAAACAACAACATGGCATTATGAAGCTGATTTTGCAAGTAAATTTAATGAAATTGGATAAATATTAAAAGATATGTTTCCAAATATTGAAATAATAGGAAATTGGGATAAAACATAATAATTAGAACATTTTGATGTATATATAAGAGGAGTTGGTTAATTAAATTAAATGGATAAGGAAGGTAGAGTATTTTTATTTAGAAAGAATGAAAAATTAGCTAAATTTTTAGATTGTTTTTTAAAGAGAATGTTAAAGGTTTATGATGATATAGTATTAATTGCATAAGCATATGGAGATACAAATTACATGGCTAGTAAATAAGAATAATTTTTGAAAAGTAATAATTATTCATAAAGATCAAAAATATCTCATGATCATCCATGCAATGTACCTGATAAATAAGAGAAATCAGAAAAAGGAGAAGCATAATTGGCTGGTATGGATTTTATTTGTAAAAATTGGGGTTGTGGATAACCATTTAAATATGATTCAACTCCAAATGGAATAAAAACATGTAAACATCATCCTGGTAGATATGAATTTGGATCTAAACATGGATTATGGCCAGAATGTTGGACATGTTGTGGTAAAAAATGGGAAGCAGAAGGATGTAGATTAGCTTATCATAAAGGTGTTCCTGAAAAAGATTTTTATAATATATGTATTAATGTAGGACCTTTAGATTCTAAAACTGGTTATCCTGAAGGAACATGTGGAATGAGATTTTAAGATGGTGATTCTTCTGAATGTAAATATAATTCAGGAACTCATTAAGCTGCAAAATGGCCAGATCCTGCTGCTAAAGTCTATTTTGTATAAAAAATACATACTGTAATTTTATTATTATAATTTATAGAATCCTGCATAAAAAGAAAAAGAAACATAACCTAATAAAAATATTTAACTTAGACCAGATGTATTTAGAGAAACTAAACCTTACAATGAATTTATTAATAAAGATAGATAAAGATAAATGAAATTAATTGAAACTGAAAAAGAATTAAGAACCTGTACTAATTGGGCATGTGGAAAATAATATCGTGAAATTGAAAATAGAAAAAAAAGAATGTGCAAATGTCATCCTGGAGTATTTGATTTTGGACATACTGCTACTAAAATTTAAGAAGCTATTGAAGAATATAAATAAGATAAAGGATCTAAAATTTTATGGAGACCACAGTATATTTTATATTTTATAACATTATAGTTGGACTTGTTGCAGAAAATCTTGGAATGAACCAGGATGTACTTTATAATAACACTCAGGACCTTTAGTTGTAGAATATAAACCAAATAAATATTTATGGCCAGATCCAAAAGCATAAATTTATTTCAAAAAGAAAGTTTCAGAAAATTGGACCAGAATGCTTGAATAACATCATAGTCTAACACCAGAAACAGCTAGTTTGAAATATGATCTTTTATGTAAAACTTTAGGTTCTGGAGGAGTAATAAATATATTATATTCTCTTAGTTAATATCTGCTTATAGACTGCCTGAATTATGTGACAAATTTGAACTTAATTTATGGGTTTGTAGTGAAGATTTAGCATTTTAATTTAAATTTACAGATATTATGGAAGGAAGAGCTCAAGAATATTTGGCTGACACAAGTGGAAATATTGATAAGCATAAATTTTTAGATTGGTGGTTTGCTGATGTCAATAGAATGTTGGAAATTTCATAAAAATGATATATTAAACATATTAAATAAAAAATATATATTATTAATATATCAAGTTATTTCAGATTAAATAACTTTATTCTAATTTTCAAAATTATTTTGACATTATTTTAATACTCAGCTTATTAATTTTTAATATTTTGAGTTTAGATTCTAATACTTAATTATTGGATTAAAATTTAGAATTTTTCACTTATTTTTATATTCTTAAAATGTTACAAACAATCCTTTTTTTACTTAAAAAACCAAAAGTAACAAGAAACTCAAGAGAAAAGGAAAAAAGTTAAAATAAAAGTGAAGTTTTCCTATTTATTAAATATAGATAAATTGATATCAAAAGGGATTTGAAAGAAATTAATAAGTAAGATTTTTTTCTTTGTGAATCAAAATAAACCTTAGAAAAATCACTATAATACGATTAAATAGAACGAAAATTTGTAGAAAAATAATGGAAAATATCGATGAGAATATTAAAAAAAAATGGAAAAAATTAGATAAAGGAAAAAAAAAATTATAACAAAAATTGTTATATTTAGTTAAGTATTTATTTCATTTTTTTAATAGTATAGTTTAATATATGCTCAATTTAAAAATTAGATCGTATTATTTTTAAGAGTATATAAATTAATAATTATAATCGTTAAATATGCATAACGCTGTGATTACTATTCCTTAACATGGAAATGGAAGACTTTACAAAACATCAATTTGTAGACACTTTGAATTAGGAAATTGTTCTATTGGAGATAAATGTCAATTTGCACATGGTTAAAAAGAATTAAGAAATCCAAATGGTATTACTAAATTTATGATGTAGATCCAATATTGGGTAAGATACCAACAATTGATTCAAATATAGTTATCACAAATTATAAAAGTATCAATTAATGATTATAAATTACAGCTGTGTTATGCAAATATGATTAATAAGGATTTTGTAAAAATGGAATAAATTGTCCATATGCTCATGGAACAAATGAAAAAAAACAGGCCAGATTAGCTCCTGTGTAGTTGAAATAATTATAAGAAAATAAAGAGAATGGTGATGATGAAAATGTTGTTAAATTTCTTAATTAATTGACTGATAAATTAATGAAAAATGATGCTTTTAAAAATGACAAAGTATAATATTTTGAAATTATAAAAAAGCAAGTTTTAGTTTAATTGAAATAAACTTAAACTATGATTGAAGAAAAGCACCATAGAGATGCAGCTGAATAGTTATCATTAGTTTTATCTTCTCCATCAAGATCCTCAAAATAATAAAAAGCATATGAAACAGTTTATAAAACTTTAACATTAAATTGAAAATATAAATAAAATAATTATTTAGAGATCAATAAACTTGATTTGTATTTTGTGAAATCTTTAGATTTTAATTAAATTAAAGATAAAGATTAAAATTATTGGAGTTAATTTAATTTGAAATATATTAAATATTAGCAACATCTTCAAAGAGATAAAAATTCTTTATTTTATAATAATTTCTCTACATCATCCATTTATTTTGCATTACCATTTATCAACATTAAATTTAAAATATCAGCTATTCGTTATTTTTAAGACATGAGTTGATCTTAAGCTTCTTACAATTAATATTCACTTAATTCTGCTATATTCTTAAAATAAACAATTCATGTACTTTTTAAATTTCTAGTTCCTTTGTCAAACTCTCAATTTTAACTTTATCCTTAATCTATTCAATTTCTAAAAAAATCATAAAAATAATACTTAGTGTAGCATTTTCTTATTTCAGACTTTCACTTTGATTTTCAGCATCATCTCCTCTAAAACTAAATCCTTTAAAATTAGCTTCATTTTAATGAATTGAATTTTTGTTTTATTATCTAATTAATCTAGAATTCTTACTATAAAGATATTTGTTATTCATTTTATGATAATATCTATCTTAAATATTAATTATCAGTTTATAGCTTCTCAATATCTAATTAAAGATCATTCAATTGTTGATTTATTTTTTTTTCTGCTTCAGAACTTTATTATAATTATGATTATAGATCTTATTTTTCTAAAGTTATTTATTTAAAAAACTAATCTAATTCAATAATACGTTATTCTCTTTCTTTAATTACTTATTTATAACCATCAATAATATCTCCAAAATCACTTTAATTATTTAAAGCTTAGACTCTAATTAAATCTTATTTTTTTTCTTCAAGCTAATCTTTCAATTTAGTAATTTCATCTTCTTAAGATTATATAATTTGATTAAAATTTCCAACTTACTTTTTATAATTTGAATTCTCTTTTTCTAATTATTAATTTTATTTTTTAAGTATTTCTATTTCTTCTTTTTAATGAATAGCATCTAATCCATAATTTTCAATTTAAGTTTTTAATTAATTGATCATTTAATTATCTTATTTTGTATTTAATTTAGCATAACTTTCAGATGGTTATTCATTATAACTATTCTATTTTATATCAGTTTTCAGTTATAATGTTTCATTTTATATTTTTTCAATTTCTTAATTGATTAGCATTAAATTATTTTTAAGGTTATAAATTTCCATCTGACTTTTTTCTTTCTCTTTTTGTAATTAACTGACAGTATATTGACTCTACTCTAAATGAGACTTTAACATGTTGTTATCTCTTTATAGAAACTCAAGTTCTTTTTTTAATATTTCTTAATTATATGTAGATTGAGCATTTTAATCATTATTACTATTGATTAATTGTTACTATTATAAAAAGAGAACTTATTATTAATATTCCTAATTTTATTGGATAACTTATGTATATTCATCTTTTAATTAAGAATATGTTGAAGACAATAAAGAAAATTCAATACATGAATTTTGATATTTATCTTTAAGATCTAAATACTTCTTCATTAAATCTTCATAATTATCAGAATAATTAGAATAATTATTAAATTAATTATTATTTTGTAAATCATCTTATTGTTATGTTTTACTTCTTTAGGATAATTATTGTTATTATTTTGAAGGACTTTTTGGGCCATCTAAATAAGAAAAATTTTGTTTATTTGTTTGCTTATACTATTAGGGATCATGTAAAGATTTGACTAATTAATCAGAAGGCTAATATTATTGAGTAGGTGGTTAAATTTAGCTATTGTACATAAATTAATAATCTTTAGAATCTTTTTATTCTACAAAAGATTAATACTGAAGAGATTTTTATTTCGTTCCTTTTTCTGATTAACTTAAATTTTAATCTTCATTAGATCCATTTTTTAAATCATCTAATTATCTATGTTATTTTAATTTTTGATTAAGTTTAGATGAATATTTTTTTTTTTCTTCTTCTTTATTTTCATTATTCATTTATTATAATTATTTATCTACTTTACTTAATTTTTCATTTATCATTCTTAATTCATGATCTTATTATCTTTGAGGATTGAAATTATTGGAAGTATTTTAAAATTTCTTATTTATTTTTGTAGGTGTTCCAAATCTTTTTGGAGGAGATGCAACTCTTACTTAACCATCAGGCTTTCTTAATGTATCTGTCCAATTATAATTGTAATCATCAACCATTATTACTTTTTATGGATGTTTTGGTTCTTTAAGTTTTCTTTCTAATTAATTCTTTAAGTATTCTTTATGATCTTTCCATTAAGAATATGTTACATGAGTAGTTCTCTTTTCTAAATCATCTCCAACTTTTTTTGATTAACCCAATCTTTTTGGACTCTATCCAACAACATTTCGTTATGTACTTTAAGGACTATTACCTGATAGATAAGGATTAAGAATTTTAGGATTATTTTCTAAAGGCTTTTCTATGAATTACCATTCAAACATAAAAGTTAATTAGGCTTCTTCATTCTATTCACTTTGAATTGATAATTTATCTGATAATTATTAGAATTTATTCTAGATATAAAAGTCAAGATCAAAAACAGCCTCTCCAAATTTACTTTAATTTTCAAAAAAAATCAATTTGAGCTGGCATAATAAAAAAAACTTACTTTTTTTTTGTTTTTAGGATCATAAGAAGTTTTAATTTCAACCTTTTCATAAATGTCTTATTGTTCATAGCATTTACATTTAAGTTAACTATTTAACATGACTGCAGTAACAGCTATATTCAATCAAACATATTACAATCATTAAGTTACATATGGCAATATGTTATTGGTGAATCTATATAAAAATAAACTGTTTGCACTTCAATATTAATTTATAGCATCTTTACTATATTTTTTATTTATAATAATAATTTATTTCGTTATTTTTAATTTATCAGATTTAACTATTTTATGATAAATATATTCATATAATTAACAAATTAAGAATAGTCATTACTCATATAAGTGATTCTAATTAATGTTACATCTCTTCTCGAATTAAATCAATTTCTTTTTATTGAAAATAATTCCAAGTTCTAAAAGAGTAAGATCCAATCCCATACAAACTTTCACATTAATAATCCAATAGAATCTTTTATACATTGAAATTTGGTATCAGTAATTCATCACAATATTTCATTTTTGAAGAGGAATTATTATAAATTTTAATTATGGAATCATTATGATCTTGATGTAAAAAGACAATCTCTTTTGTTTCTTAAGCAACAATCATATCAATAGGATTATCTTATAATTCTTTATGAAACAGAACTTCATTTTTTTAAACATTCCAAAGTAAGCATCTATTAGAATTCAATTTAGTATAAATAACATTGTTTGAGTTACCAGGACTAAACATAGCTTTCAAAGCTTATTATCCATTTTATTAAAAACTAAATTGTGCAATTGTTGGATTTCTAATATCTAAATGAATAAATCCATCTGTCATAGTCACTATAAGATTATAATCATGAACATCAATATATTATATTTACTATGTTTCTTATTTGTTTGAATCTTATAATTATTAAAATGTGGGTAAATGTTCTATCAAATCATCTTTTATTGAATCTTCCTCTTCATCTAATCTAAAATTTGTTTCATTTAATAAATTTGGATCTATAGGATTTATTTAAGGACTTTCAATTATTGTTGATCCAAATCTTGGTAAAAGTGGGGATAGTATTGAATTTGCTCGAATTAAATTATTTTATTAATTCTGTATAGTTAAAGATAAACATTTTCTTTCGTTCATTCTTTCATCGAGAATCAATAATTCCTTAAATTAATAAATAAATTATTTACATTATTTTTTGTTCCTACATAAATATTCTTTAAAGATTATGTTATGAATGTTGGTTGAGAATGTTCCTACAAATTACAATTGTTTTAATTATTTAATCCATAATAATGATAAGCTTAATTCTTAAAGAAATTCCATCCCATAATGTTTCCTTAATCAGAACCAGTAATTAACATATCATCAGAAATATTTTAATCACATATACAAAATGATATATACTTTGAATCATTTTCATGAACATCGCATATTTTCTCGCTTTTAAATGTATCATTTATTAATTCTATTCTTGTTAAATGATTTCCATTATTTACTATTATTCCATTCTATTATTTTAAAGAAATAAAATTATTTTATGTTTTTCTACTTTAAGCAAAAGCTCCATCAAATGCTGAAAAATATTGGATGTTCTATTATCTTATTATTAATATACTTTTCGAACTATTCTTAGATCGCTCATCAATAATTGGAATTTTTTGTTGATCTTCTAATCTAATTTCTTTCCTAATTCTTCATGTCTTGATCCTAATCCTGAGATAAAACTAGGAGCCATTGGTTTTGAAGGTGATTCATCACTAGATAAAATATTTAGAGGCTTCTAATATTTAGATTTTGTTTTCTCTAAGAACTTCTCTAATTTTTATATTTTCTTTAGACTCTCTTCAGTATATTTTGATTATTTTATCAATGCTTCTGAAAAAGTTATTGGTTCCACATTTCCACTATTGAATTACTTTGTTCCATTTATTAATTACTTATTAATTGGTGTTTTAGAAAGCACTTCATCTTTCTCCTAATAATAGATTATTTAAATCGCTTTACTATTTCTTTAAAAGGAACTGCTAAACTCCTTGGTGTGTTAAACATTATATTCTGTTGATTATAGACTGAATTTTTGTTTAGTTTTGCTGAAATTGTTTAAGCATGAGTAAAACTTTAAAATTGAAATCCATTTGGTATTGGAGATTCATCACAAGAGAATTCTGAAATGACAGAAGTTGTTGAAGACTTTGGTACATTTTGCTTAAATTTGACAGAATTGTTTTTCATTTTAATTTATCTATGATCAAAAAGTTAACCTCAGCCTTTAGTTACATTTGAACTGAAATAATTCATTTTTCACTAAAAAATGAATTAAATAAAATATCAAAATTTTTGAAAAATAAAGCAAGACTAGTAAAATTCTTCATCATTTTACTTTATTTACAATATAATACCAATCCAATAAAATATATTAATAAGAAAGCTGATTCAGACTATTTCATATTAATTAAAATATTTAGATTTAAATTTAATTATTTAGATATAATTATCCTTAAAATTCATAAATTAAATCAATATATTATTTCAAACCCTTAATGAATCAAAATATTAGCAATTAACGAAATATTGAAATTTAGAGATTTGTTATTCAATGTTCTAAAACCTTAATTATTATAATAGATATGAATGAATGAAAACATTCTTTCATTTAATTTGAACTGTTAAATATAAAACATTTATTTAAATAAATAAATTTTAATATGTTGCTTAGATTTATAACCACAACCCATCAATTAAACTGGGCTTCACTTTATTATTTTACAAAACACACTAGACCTAAAGCATAGCCTCATAAAGAGAAAACTAGAGCAAAAGCAATAAGTGATGATAAATCAGGAAAAATTGCAAAATCAGATTAAGAACAAGAATAAAGACAACAATAAGAAAATTTAAAGAAAAAAATAGAATTAGAAAAATTAAGAGCATTACAACCAAAGATGCATACCTGGAGTTCATTTTATGAAACGCATATTCCTTAAACAAAGAAAATTCAAAAAACAATATATCTATCATTAAATGAATAACAAGAAGGAAGAAATAAACATTATAAAAAGTTTACATAACCTCCAATGGATATTACTGAGGAATGCAATAAAGAGTTTGAAATAAAATAGCATACTTATGAAGATCCATTTGCATAACCAAAAAGAGCGGGTTTAATAGCAGTAAAAGTTGGTATGACTGCTTAATGGGATAAATGGGGTTATCGTCATGCATTAACAGTCTTATAATTAGATAATAATTAAGTAGTTTAAATAGTTAAAAGTGACACATATACAGGATTGTAGATTGGGGCAGGAGCAGTGAATATAAAAACCTTAAAAAAACCTTAAATAGGTCTTTTCCTTAAAGCAAATGTATGAATTTAAAGTGTAAATTTAGATACCCCCTAAAAAATACATAAAGGAATTCCGTATAACACCTGAAAATGTATTACCAGTAGGTTATATGTTGAGTGCAAGACATTTTACTCCAGGTTAATATATAGATATCTAAGGTGTCTCAACAGGAAAAGGTACTTTATGAGTTATTGATTAATTTTATTAGGATTTGGAGGTACAGTTAAGAGACATAATTTTAAAACATAACCTGCCACACATGGTAATTCATTATGTCATAGATAATTGGGAAGTACAGGTTAAAGATAAGATCCTGGAAGAGTCTTTAAAGGAAAGAAAATGCCTGGACATTTAGGTAATGATAAAGTTACTTGTGAGGGAATTCAAGTAATATATTATTTCCATATAATTTATTCTAGATTTATAGAATAGATGCAGTTAGATAATTAATATATGTAAAAGGTTCAGTTCCAGGAAAACCTGGATCTATTGTATTTTTAAAAGACTCTTGGAAAGTCTAAAAGAAAAATAAAGATTTGCTTAACTTTCCAACTTTAGCTGTTGAAAATGGAAAAGAATATGCTAAAGAAATTGTTATGGAAGCACCTTTAGAAGATCCTGAAATGGAGGAAACTCATGAGAATGATTTCCCAAAAGCTGGAGAAGATGCAGAAGATTGAAATAAATCAAAAGAGTATAATAATATTAGATAAACAAAATAAATAATAAGATACACACTTTCATTTTTAGTTTTTCAATGTCATACATAACTTCTTCTTTTCAAATTTTTCTTTCTATTGATATTCATTATCATTATTAAAACATCTTTTAGATGATATTTATTATATTTGAGTAAGATTATCATTTGATTATTAGTATTATTTATCAAACTCTTTTTATGAGTTTGAATTAATCATTAGTTAATACTATTTTTCAGGTAGATAAACATTATTATCATAACTTTTTATATTTGTAGATTAATTTTCTGTTAACGTTTCATAGTATCTACTCATTTTTTCTTAGGTTACATTTCTTAACTTTTAATAATCATCTTCATTTTGTAGACCTTAGAATTGAATTCTTCTTTTCTTGACTTCTATTTGTTCTAAGGGTTTTTAATCTATTTATTCTTTTCTATATCTTTCTTAATTAGAGATATTTGTAATGAAAAATTCTTTTGTTTATTTGATTAAATCATTATTATTGGTCCAAGGTTAAATAGCTGGTTATATCCATCTTGATAATCCTAATTTCATATCTTTTTCTTCAAATCTTCTATCACATAGAAAAACAATACTATAATTATGATTTATTTTTACCCATAATCATTTTTATGCCGTATGACTCTTCCCATAGCTTGATTTGTAGTACGAATTGCTTATTAGATATACCATTCACTACTTTTTATTCTTTATTAATTACTAAATTCTGGATCATTATATAATTTATCTAAGTAATCCATCTTTTCTAGAAGTCTCTTATCTAATTTAGCTGGATAAGGGACTCCTACCAAAAATATTGCTCTACATAATTCATCTGAAAAATCTATTCCTTCTGTTACTTTGCCTCTATGAATAGCAAACATTATAGCACCTGATTTAGCTTTTTCTTTATATTTTTCAAAAACTTGTAGCATGTCAGTACTTGATTTAATTTCCCAAAAACATTATTTTATTTAATTTAATTGATTTATTAATTTATTAGATGTCCACACATTTTTATATTTATTCATCAAAGTATAGGATGAAAATATAACAAGTATACCGTTTGGAATTATCTAGCATAATTTTAATAAAGTAATTCCAAATTTATCAATTTATTCTTCATTGTTTCTTTAATTATAAGAAAAATCAAAAGATTGATGTTAAAAAACTCTAACCTGTTTATCAAGATCAATAATATGTTCATTGACTAATTATATATCAAAAGCTTATTTTAATTCACAAGTCCATGATGTCATTGGAGTAAGTGTACCAGATGTTAATATCATTGAATGGAAACCTTTTTTACTAAGTCTTTAAAATGCAAGTGAAGGATCAAGACACCACATATGAATAGATAATTGATTAGATTAATCAAGTATAAAAGCTAAACTATATTAATTAAACTCATTTGATAAAGATTCTAATGAAAGTTTTTATTTTTCTCTTTTAATTTCAATTTTTATTAAATTATAAACATTTCTCATAAATTTATACCAATATTCAAAATAATTACCTTAATTTGATGATAAATCATTCATTATATCAATTAAAATTGAACAATGTTATAAATATTTCTCAAAATTATTTTTATTTACACCTTTTGCATAATTAGTCTATGAATTATCAGACCATAATCGAAAAGTGTTATCTTTATCTTAAGTATTTTCAAAAATTATAAATTAAATTTAACGACCATTCATAATTAAATAATTTTCATCAGATTCTTTATATTGAAATTCTTATCTTTTTTTTAATTTTTCTAAATATTAAGCAAATACTTTAATAGTAATCAAAATAGATTTATATTCTTTTAAATTATATAATATTTTGACTAAATTTAATTTAGTTTTTAATTGATCCTATATAACTGATACTGATTCAAGTTCATCAATCCATTTTTTAAGATCTTTTTCAGCTTCAATAATATTGTTATGAGTTATAAAAAATGAAGAACCTTCTTCAGCAGCTGATTGTACATTATGTGCTTCATCGAATATTAATACAGAATTTTCAATATCAACAATATTTTAAAAATCCTGTTCTAATAAATAATTGTAAGGAATTAATATGAAATCAGCAAAATCAAGACGTTCTCTCTCAAAATAATAAGGACATAATCTATTTATTTAACCAAATTATCTTGTTTCTTCCAAACTATTAATTAATGTACTATAATTATAAGCAAATTTGTTTAGATGATCTTTTCTATAAAATTAACATTGATTCATCTTGATTGATTTGTGACAACTTTAATTTAAAATATTTCCTTTAATCATACTAAAATCACCTCTTATACAATATTAATCTCTTGATCCTAACATTGAAATCTTAGGTTTATAAACAGTTTTCTTTAATTCCATTGCTACTTATTTTAATTGTGCATGAGTTCTAGAGGAATAAATAATTTTAATATTTTTAGGTTGTTCAGTATTTAATTGATCTTTTCTATTCTTTGTTAACCATGCTAATGTAGCACAAAGTAAAGATAAAGTTTTACCTGTGCCAGTTGGTGATTCCAATCTAATCTTAATTGATTTTAATAATTTACAATGCATTTTACTTTTTATTTAATGATTTTATCACACTTTCCATATAAATCTTTTATACTTCATAAGGTTAACGAGGAAAATAAATAGGAATATCATTAAGTATTATTTAAGTTTATTTCTTACACATATTCTAATCAATATCTATCTCCAATATTATTCTCTTATTGATTTTTTCGGATTCTTCATCAAGTAATTAATGATGTTAACTCTTTATATTTGAATTTTATTAATCTATTTATGAAGGAGTTTTCATTTTGTAATTTTTGTAATGAAATTTGGTTCAAAATATTATTTATTATTGAATTAACAATTACAAATTTAAATTATGAATTAAACAACCCCGAAATCCTCAGGAATCAATTATGCAAGTAAGTGTTTCCCTACATTAAGAGTTAAGAAAATAGAAATCAAAGGAAACTACAATTCCCAAATCTATGAGTAATAATCTTAAGTTTGATATCCAATAAAACTATTAATATGGTATTCTCAAACATAGAAGCACTTCATAACACAATATTCATGAGCATGTTCAATCATAACAGTAGATCCAATTATTTGAATAATATTTCAATCAATCTAAACATTTACTACCATTCATAGAATTTGTTAGTAAATAAATATAATATCATACTTAACCCATTCAAGTATTTTATCTAACTTTCATAGATCAATGCAAATATATTTAAAAATGGATAAAGAAGATGGGAGGATGAAAGAAGAAGAATTCTAAATGATCTAAATTAGTATAAGGAAGATAATTGTTTATTACAATCTGAAATTCATGAATTGAAAAGATAAAAAAATACACTTTCTAAATAATGTGAAAATTTACAAGTGATAATTGTACAGGAGAGATTGGGGAAATAGTAAAAACATCATCATTTCTATAAATTCCAAGAATTAACCAAGAATATTCATGTTCCTACATAGGAAACAATCTCATCATTAACTGACGAAAGGGTAACTTCTATAAATATTTGAGTTCGAAAGCAATGAAACATCTTTAGACTCTTCTTTATCAAATGAGGATCATCATTATCCTAATTAGTTGTTTGAATTATTGAAGACTGGAAAACATAGGTACTAGTTTTCTAAGAAACTTAATTGATTTATTAATATACATAATCTATATTAAATGACTAATTTGAAAGTATTTTAGCTTATTGCATATCAGAACTCTATAATTGTATTACAATATACCTATCATTAGATTAAATCAGATTTGCCATATTTAAACACTTAGTTAATTTTTCACAGAACTTCTTCAATTATAGAAGAATGTCCTAAATATTAAGAGAATGAAGGCAAAATTAAAGGAGATAGAAGATGTTCCTACATTTTAGGAATCTTCAAGACTTTTAATAAATCATTTATAGTGCTTGTAGAAGAATGCACAAAAGTTGCAACAATACAAAATCAAATCATATATCATATTGATAAGATATCATACATAGCCGTTTAAGTAAAATGCATTTTTAATTAGAGGATAATAATGCTAATAACAATAAAGATATCTTGGAAAGTTTAAGTAATCAAAAAAAACTATTGTAATCAGGATTCTATTTTTCTCTCAATGGTGATATAACTCTTGCAAGACATTTTTAAAAATATGAAAATAGTTTTGTTTGGAATAATAAACTTCTTGGTCCTTTGAGAGAAAATAAGATTTCTTCTAATTGGCAATTACCTATGATTTAAGGGTATGTAGAATAAATAGATTCTTACATTGATAAGTAACTTATAAGTGTAGTCTTGATTTCCAGAAGAAGTCGATTTATGGGAGGAACACGTTATTATTCAAGAGGAGTGAATGATGATGGTCATGTAGCTAATTTTGTAGAAACAGAATAAATAATTATTTCAAGTTAAATATTAATTAGTTTTGTTGTTATAAGAGGATCAGTACCACTATTTTGGAATTAAGATGGTGTTTCTAGTATTAAATTGACTAGGTCAAAAGAATTAACTTAAGCAGCATTTATCAAACATTTTAATCTCCTAAGACGATATGGAAAGATATTTTGCATTAATTTAATGTAAAATGGTAGATAAATTGAACAAACATTAACTGATAATTTCTATTATCAATTCTAATAGGCTTAACTAGATCATGTTAATTATTAATATCTTGATTTTCATTCATTAGTCAAAAATGGTAAGTCTGCTGGAATCAATTCTTATATTTACTCTCATGAATAGACTTTAGATTAATTTGAATGCTATATAGAAAAAGATAAACAAATAATAACTAAATAAAATGGAGTTTTTAGAATTAATTGTTTAGATTGTTTAGATAGAACTAATTTATTTATGAGTAAACTATGTCTTTATAGTTTGGATAGATCACTAAAAATTATGAATCTATAATTATCAAGTAATTCTGATATTCTCACTTATTTTGATGAAAATAATAAGAAATTATTACATGATTTGATTATTAAATATAAGAATATGTGGGCTAATAATGGAGATATGTTGAGTTTTATCTATTCAGGATCAGGAAGTACAATATCTGAAATGGCTAGAGAAGGTAAAAGAGGTTTTATGGGAATGCTTAAAGATGGATATAATAATATTGAAAGATTTTATAGTCGATAATTTGAAGATGATACCAAATAAAATACAATTAATTAGTTGTTATTTGGCTCAACATCTTAAACTCATTTTGATTTATGGATTACATAATAAGAAAAGTACTTTTGTACTATTAATGAAATTTCAATATTATTAACAACATGGAATGTTGGTGGTAATAATCCAATCACTACTGATTTTTCATCTAATATATTAGATTTTTAAGATCAATCTAATCCAGATATTATAGTATTTGGATTATAAGAAATTGTAAATTTGAATCCATAAAATATTGTCATTATGAGCAATGAAAAAACACTATAATTATGGGATTAATTATTTTAAGCTAACTTATCAAAAATTGAACCCTATATAAAAATTGGAGAAGCTGATTTGGTTGGTTTATATTTAGCTATTTTTGTTAAGAAATCTTAAATTTCTAGAATAACCTAAATTGATACAGATGTAGTCAAAACAGGTTTAGGTGGAACTTTAGGAAATAAAGGAGGAGTTTGTGTTAAATTTAATTTCGATAATTCTAATGTAAATATTCTATTTATTATTAATTTAGTTGGGGTTTACTTGTTGCCATCTAACATCTGGTAATAAATAATGTCAATAAAGATTATCAGACATTGATGATATTCATTAAAGAGCATTTTAAAATTCTAAATCAAAAATTAATTTAAGCAACCTTGATTATTCATTTTTTTTTGGTGATATGAATTTTAGAATCGATTTATCATACTAAGAAGTTATTGAATAAATTAAGCATTATTAATAAATGATTTCTTCAGATCCAAATAGTCCTAATGCGAAATCTAAGCTAGCATATTTACTTAATTAGGATTAATTAGGAAAAAGTAGACATAAAAATTAATACCTTCAAAATTATTAAGAAGGTAGTATTACTTTTTTACCAACTTATAAATATGATAAAAATTGTCAAATTTACGATACTTCTAAAAAATTAAGAACTCCTTCATGGTGTGATAGAATTTTAGTTAGTTGTAAGGAAGAATTGATTTGTTAATAGCGTTTTTATAAAAGAAATGAATGTTTAGATAGTGATCATAGACCTGTGTCTAGTTATTATGTAATTGAAATCAAAAAAATTGATAAAGATAAACTTGATTCTGTTAAAGCAGAATATTGTTTGTCAAAAATGTAGAATTTAAAATATAATTAACCACATTTGGATGTTCCAAAAAAACATACTCCAAATATAAAATTTTAACAATAATAATAACCTTAATAGACTGATGATCATTAGGATTTCTTTTTATAATAATAAGAAAATTAAATTTAAAAACCAGAATTTCCTGTTAGTTCCTATAATTAATATTTATAATAATAATAATAATAATAATAATAATAATAATAATAATAATAATAATAATAATAATAATAATAATAATAATAATAATAATAATAATAACCTATTACTTAGATATAATAATAGTAAATATAATAAATTTAATAACCATTAATTTCAACTTTAGATTTAATAAATATGGATGATGAATAATAATAATAATATTATTAATAACCTTAAGTTTTAGAATAGTATGCTGCTTAATAAATGTAATTATAATAACGAGATTAAAATTCTCTTGTATAAGAATAAAAAACAAATCAATAAGAATAACAATCTGATTTATTATGATAAAATAATATTAGTATGAACATTAAAATCATTTTCAATCTTCATAATTTGGGATTTGAATTGGCGATTAGGATTATATTTATTCAACATTAATTTTTTCAATTTCTTTTAAAATTTCATCTACATTTTTAACTTTATTATTTTTTGGATAGGTTTATGAATTATAAAATTCAATAATTTGCTTTTTCTTTTCCAATTTCAATTAATTTAGATCGATCATTAATTTGCTGAATAAAGATGTTAAATGAGATATTAATCCATTTCCTTTAATATTTGATAATGATTTTTCATCAAAAGCTTATGATTTTTTTAATGACATTTATGCAGATTATGTTATTTCTTCCAATGGTTTAATTTCTCTAACCAAAAAGAAGACTACTAAAATAATGTAAATGAGAGGAGCAGCAATGCAAGCAGCTAAATATCTTTCATTGAACTCTTTATCATATGTATCAAACTCTTCTTCTTAGTTCTGCAATTATATTTCGAGTAATGTATAAGGATATACACTAATTATGATAATAAATTTTACATTATAATGGTAAAGTTTAATTTTATAATTGAGATAGAGTAAATAGTGTTATTTATTATTCCTTTATAGATTTTATATGGATAATCAGAATTTCCACCTTTCTCCAACTTAAAATCATGAATTATTAGTTCATCAGGATATGCTATTAATTATTAAATTATATTTATTGTGAAATTCGAGGTTTGAAAACTTTAATAAATAATATTACCATCTTTGTTTGAGATTAGAATTGTATAATTAAGTAAATCGCTGGTTGCAAATAACATGAATAAATCTTTGAAATTTTATGGTAATCTTTCAATAAAAATATTTCCGATAGTTTCATTATTTTAGTTAATAATTGGATATATTGATCTTTAGACATAGTTTTAGAGAACATCATCAAAAATAAATTCTGAAGTCTCTTAATTTTTATAATCAATTTATTTTCTATAATTTCTAAATTGTTCAATATCAGTAACGTTTATTCCAGGATATTAAACCATTAAACCATTTTTGAAAATCCAAAAAAATGAGCAAGTTAAAGTAACATAATTATATTTCATTAAATAATTTGCACTTAAATAATATTAAAGATCCCCTTATGACAAATTTGTCTAATTTAAAAACATATATGTTGAATAGCTCTAGGTTGCATAATCAATTATTGAAGTATATTAATAAAATTTAGCATATTCGTCTAAATTCTGATCCATTGAAACAAGTTGATTTTCATTCCATTAAATAATTCTTTATTAAAAAACTTCATTCATTACTTATGCAAATTAAATTTCATTCATATAAGTTACTAAACATAAAGTAATGAATTATTCAGAAACTTATTGGATTTGTTCTTATTACAATTTAGCAAAATTATTCTTCGACCATTCTTATATAATATTTTTAAATATATCCTAACCCAGAAATCTTATACCAAAAAATACACCAAGTGATACTGTTGCAATAATTAATTGTGTAATTATTACTTGCATTTTAAAAGTCCATTTGCTTGATATTGGAATGAAAAATACATAACCTATTTTTTAGCTAGTTAAAAAATTTCCAAATCCAATATAGCCTTTTAGTTTCTCTAAACATGTTTCTTTAATTTCTTTCTTTTTGTGTTCATCTTTTGACAAAGGTTACTAATCTTAAAATGAATGATTTTCAGGTTCAATTTTATCATTTTCATTTTCCTCATCTAATTAATTTTCAGATTCATTCTCTTCTGAAGAAGAATCACTCTGAAATAATTCTTATTCATTTCTGTCTGATAACATTGCTTCATCTTAATTATTAGAAGATAACATTATATTAAAAATATAAACTTAATTTTACAAATTAGAATGTAAATTAAATAAATCATTGATACTTAATCTTATCAAATTTATTTTATAAAGTTTTTATTGTTTCCTAAATCTATAATCATTAAGATTTTTAATGTATAATTAAACTCAAATATTTAAATATATATTTTATTTACTGTAAAAATTCTTAGGCAATTTAAAATCAATTATGAATATAAGAATTTTATTTAAAGAATATATTCTAATTACAATAGCAATTAAATTGATCATATTTTTTATTTAAGAGTTTCAAATCAATTTTTTTTTTAATTTCCAAATTTGTTGATCATTACTAGAAGGCATTTTAAAATTTGCTCTTAGTTTTAATTTGAAATTATTAAAAACCTTTAACTTTTTCTTAGTAATTAACATCACATTGTTATTATTAATATTATTGATCAAGAAATAGAATTTTGAATTGGTTATTGAATTTTTTGAATATGAATTCAGTATTAGGAATTGTTTATGATGAAATTAATAATCTATTTCTAAGAAATTAATTTATTATATTTAACATTATATAGTGTGGATGACTTAGGTTACCTAAGACCCATGTTTAGAATATCTGGGTATTATGATAATTTGATTATTTTTAAGACAAAGCTTAAGATATAACTTAAGTGCAAATCTAATAATAGAGATAACTAATTACAATAATAAGTGTAAATGATAAAGATGCTAGAGATATAATTTATTATCTGTAAGATAGATAGAGTATTGATTTATCAAAAGTTTCTAATTGGAAAAAATTGAAATAATTTTTATGGGGTTTACATGAAGTGTCAAATCCTAATTCATCTTTTCGAATATTTTGGGAATTGATAAGTATGATATTTATATTCATACAAATGATTTAAATACCATTGGTTTTAACTTATTCAGTAGAACTTAGTGATGGATTTTTAGCTTTTAATTAATTTATGGATGTATTCTTTTATATTGATATGTTATTGAATTTTAAATTAGCATATTATGATAGGTATCTTAATTAAATATTATTTTTTTATATTAGAGGTGAAATCATCTTTGATAGGAAACTAATAGCAATAAATTATCTGAAATTATGGTTTTGGTTGGATTTTTTAGCAATTTTACCATATGATTAGATGTTTAGTGGAGAAGATTCATCAACTTAATTATTTAAGATAGTAAGATTATTTAAATTCATAAAAATAATAAGATTACTAAGAGTATTAAAAATAAGTAAAATATTGTAAAAATTAGAAGGTAATTGAATAAGTAATATAATAGAATCATTTACATTAGCATAAACCTTTTAAGCAGTAATTTAATTTTTAAAAATTGCCTGTATGATTTTGAGTATAGCACATTGGATAGCATGTATATGGAATATAATAGAATATGCAGATGAATAGGTTAGCATCACATGGATGAAAAAATATGGAATAGCAGATGCAGATTGGGAAATTAAATATATTTCAGCTTTTTATTTTAGTGTAACAACAATGATTACAGTTGGTTATGGAGATATAAATGCAAATACATAAGCTGAAATGATTTTTGCAGTATTTGCTATGGTTTTAGCATCTGGCATTTTTGGTTACAGTATGTCTAGCTTTATGTAAATAATTGAAGGAGAAGATGAAAAGATTTAAGAATAAAGAATTTAGAATTCTAAAATTGTGAGGTTTCATTTTATATAATCAAACTAGATATATCAGATAAAAAAGTATCCCTAAAGAATTGTAGAGTAGAGTTAAAAACTATTTAGAATGGTTAGCTGGTTCTGCTTAAATTGCTAGAAATTACGAATAATATGTATTAAGAAGTTTATCTGCTAATCTCAAAACTGAAATTGTATGTCTATTAAATGGAAGAATTCTACATAAAGTTTAATTATTTAGTAAAGAATTTACTCCATAATTAATTAATAAACTTGTTTATGTTTTAAATGAATAAATTTTGGGTCCTGAAGAATATGTTTTTAAAGAAAATTCTTTTGAAAATGATAAAGTTTATTTCATTCAAAATGGATAAATTAATATATGTCTTACATAAAGAGAAACTCTGATTAAAACTTTATAAAAAGGTGAATATTTTGGAGAAATTGGATTCTTTGGTAGAAAACCAAGAAGTGCTTCTGCTAAAACTGTAGATTTTGTGAATGTTATGAGTTTAAAAAGAACTGATTTATGGGATGCAGCAAAACCTTTAGAAAGTGATTTGTTAAAATTATATTATATGAAAGATTGTTTAGAAGTTGAAAATAATCTTAAACCTTTAAAACTTAGATGTTACATATGTGATAGACCACATCATATTTCAAGAAATTGTACTGTATTTCATTATAGAGCAAGTCGCAAAAACATCATATTTGAATATTTTAGTCATCAAAATAGTAGAATCAGATTATTTTAAAGAAGAGAAAAAAATAAAAAAAAAGTTAATATTAATTAACTTTAAAATTTAATTGAGCAATATCAAATCAATTAAAATCGAAATGAAAAGTAATCAAAAAATAATGCTAATAATTATATTTTTGAAGATGTTAAAATTGCTTGTGATATAGATCACTTGAAAGAATATCCAGACTTTTACAATGAATTCAATATTAGTAATGTTGCATAAAACATCAATTTTTATGCTAGTCTTACACTATTACAAATGGAAGAAGAAAAAAGAAAACTTAAAGCTAACTTAAGATTAAATTAAAAAAGATTAAAAAATTAAACTTTGGCTCCTAGATAATCTAAAATGACTTTAGGAAATATTGAAAATCTAGTCAATATTTACGAAAACTATCAATCTTTATCATCTAAAAACTCAATTAATTTTATTGAAAGATCAAAAAGTAAATCAAAAAGACTTCTTGATATATAATCTTAAAAACAGTATTAAATTCAATTATTTTAGCATGACAAGAAGATCTTTTACAAATAGTATTTAGAAATATTTTGAATAATTTAATAAATAACCTTCATTTGTTGAAAAGTGTATTTTAACCAAACATAAAAGAATCTCATCATAAACACGTTTTGTTTCTAATTGTTAGGCCGAACTTAACATATTTAGAAGAGAAACTTATATGAAAAAGTTGATTCCTGAACTTCTGCTTAATTTCAATTTAAAACAACCACAATTTTGATATTTTATGATTTACTTTAGTTTCTCTTCTCCTAATCTATTTTCTTTTTATTTAATATTATTTATAAATATAAAATTATCTCATAAATTTTTCTCTGAATATTATGAAACTTAACTTCCAATTATGTTTGCCATTCCTGAATTCATTACTTTCATAGTCATTTGAGCTTTTTCTTTTTTTAATTTTGAAACTTAATCTGCTAAAATTTTATTCTATTCATTTAAACTTAAGTACTCATTATTTAAATCTAATTTATCTTATTTTAAGCTGCTAATCTATTTTTATAAGTTATCAAGTTATTGTTACAGATTTATTATTTTATTGTTTTAATAATCATTAGTTTATTATTTTTCTTTTTTTAGCTGATTAATAATCTCTAAATTATTAGAATTTTAATCTTGAAGAGAGAGGATTTCCCTTTCATATTGTTAACTCTATTATAGTTTCTCTTTCTTAATTAGATTCATTTATTCAGATAAATGTAAATTTAAATTTTATAATTTTTAAAGATCCCCTTCATTATTTTTTGAATATGGAATATTACTCTTCATCTACATAGCCAGTTAATCTTCTAAATTTTTATTTATCTCATTCAATCTTATGATATCATCTTCAGCTGCAATTAATTATTATTCTAAATTTTTTATTTTTGCTTATTGAATTGAAAGTTATTTATTGTTTATTTTTATCTAATCTTCATAAGTTCCAATTCTCAATTCCAATTCTTTTATTTTATTTTCAAAGTATTTTTGCATTTAATTATTCTAATTTTCTATTTCTTCGAGTGCCTTTTATTTTGTATCACAATCTTTGACTTTACGTTCATTCTCCTTTAACTTTTATTCTAACAATTTTATCTATTAATCTTTTTCATTCATTTATTTTTCTAAATCAGCGTTTTTCTAGTCTTTCTTTTATGAAAAAGGCTGTGAAATTTGTACATCTAAGTTTTTCTTTTATAACATTTAAATTTACTGTTCAATAATTTATTTTTATTCTTCAAAACGCTAATGATTAGATCAAAAATATATACTTATTTTTATTCACTTTATTCTTTCATTGCTTAATCATATTTTTCTTATAATTCTTTTAAATTTTATTCTAAAATTTCATTATAATTAATAAGTTCCACATTTTTTATTTTTAGCTATTTGATTTACTATAATAATTTTAATATTTATTACATCTTAGAATTACTATTTATCATTCATCATTATTTGATCAGTTTATTTTTTTCTTAATTATTCTTCTTCATTTAATTTCTAATAAAGTTCTTTTATTTAAGATTCTTTTTTGTTATCTAACTTTTGGCTGATTTCTAATTATGATTTTAATTCTTCAATTTATTATTTTTATTGCTTAATTAAATTATTACATTAATCTGATTCTCGATTATTTTTTTCTTCCATTAATTCAAGTTAAGCCTATAATGTTTTGATTTTATTTTCAAAATCTCTGTTAATTTCAAAAACTTAATCAAGATGATGTAAAAGTAAGTCCATTTCTTCTTTTTTATAAGATAGCTATTGTTCTAATTATTAAATTCTTTCAGATGAATCATAAGTATCTGATTTTCGAGTAAAGTTCTAGAAATTATTTTGATTTGAATTTCCTATCATTGAATTTAATTCTTAAATTTGCTTAGTAAGTGATAAAGTTTTGTATTGAGAATCTTTTGTTAGGTTTTAATAAGCAGCTTCTTAATTTATCATAGCTTATTCTAGATTATCTGCTTTTTTTTTAATTTTATTCATTTATTCAACCAAAGTTTTGTTTTCTTAAACTAAAATAGCAATCTTTTATTCTAAAAATATGACAGATTATTTTTATTAACTAATTTGAGATTCTTTCTATAATATAAATATTTTATATCATACATCTTAGTTTAATTTATTCAATTTATCTTCATAGAATTATTGAAGTTATTGCTTTTCTACTATACTTATTTTCTATACTTCCTCAAGTTTTCCATTTATATGATGTTAAACCTAAATTTATTAACTTTATATTGTCTATTTATGAGTTTAATCTAATTCAACCATCTATTAACTCAAAATTGTATTATGTTATTTTAATTCATTTATAATTTATTCTTACTGCCTTTAATTCTAAGTATATTAATTAATTAATTATTTTGTGTTGTTTTCATATTTTTCTAAAGAAGCATTGTAGCTATTTTAAAGCTTTTCATATTCTAACTTCTTTTCTTCAAGTGCTTAATTATAGGTATTTAAATCATTAATTCTATCCTCTATTATATAATAGTAAAATATTACATAAACTTTACTAAATTTATTTATTTTGATTAACTACATTATTTATTATATCTTGCTATTTTTAATTGTCTTTTTGTTAAATTGCTAATTTAGCATTGAGATTATTAATTATTGCATCAGATTCTGTTTTCATTAAAACATATTATTGTTTCCAAGTTTACTCTAAATTATTTAAATTTTCTTGAGATTAAAATTTTATAGCTTATATATCTCTTTAATGTGCCAATTAATTATTTGCTATGATATCATCTTATTAACGTTTATTATTTATTTTTTCTTATTCGTTTAAAATGACTTGCTATTTCAATTACATATTTTCTTAAATCAATTACTCAATTTATTTTTACTGCTCTCTTATTCTATCATTTGTCTATTATAATGCTACTTTAAGCTAACTTATTGATAAATAATTACTTCATTAACTACTTATACTAAAGGTTATAATTATGCTACTTATCTTAATAAATCAACATTTTATTCTTTCAAATTTCTAAAGGTTTAATCATTTACTGGGCTATTTACTGAAAACAATTGTACAGGCTAAGGAAGTTATTAAGGTGGTGTTTATATTGGTAAATTAGAAATACTTTATCCCATTCGATTATTTTATGTTTAATTTGGTGTTTGATCAATATAACTAGCAGGATATTATTATTTAACACTTGGAGTCTTTGATTATGATTATGAAGTGGATTCTTATAATTTACCTAATCTATCTAAAAATTATGATATGTCACTAATTTATTCCTAATATTTTACTTTTAAAATTGTTTTTAATCTTAGATAATATTTTAAACTTGTTTTAATTTATCTTAGTCTGTTTCAGATCCATAATCTTATTTTTAAGGTTAACTCATATTTGGGAATATTTTCTTATATTTCTAATCTTATTCATCTTATTATCTAATTTAGATCTTAAATTTATTACTCTCTATTTGGTTATTATTTTTATATAAGTGCACTTAAGTTGCTTAATTTCTCTCCTATTGGTTTTCTTTCCATTCAAATAAAACAAAATTTTGAAATAATATAAAATAAATTTTATATAATAATTATAAAATCTATTTTTATTATTTAGCATGTAAAAGAATTGAAAATTCAGAAATTTTTATTCTTCCAAATCATCATAAATTCTCTTACATTCTATTATACATTTTTTAAAATATATGTATTTTTTGGAATTTCTTAAATTTGATAAGTATTAAAATTTAGCACATATACATTATATAATTATAGTTAAAAATCAAACTAATGCAAGATAAATAAAAAGTTCTTTGTTTTCATGGATTTGGTACAAATTCAGATATTTTATCTTATTAATTAAGATAGTTTAAGAAGGAATTTAAAGATATTGAATTTATAACACTAAATGGGCCTATTCCATTAAATAGGAATGTAAAATTTTCTAAAATAATTAGATTATTATGGATGAAAACTTAGCTAAGATGCTGGAGAATCAGAATATTTATAGTTGGATGAGCTTTCTTCATATGAAAAATAATGATATGAATTCGAGTATTTAATATTACTAAATAAAGTTTATTCACCAGCTTTTGAAGAAGTTGTGAAAATATTGAAGGAATAAGGACCTTTCTTTGGAGTAATGGGATTTTCATAAGGATCTTCTATCGCTGTTCGACTTGCATCAAAAATTGCAGCTGGAGAAGTAGATTTGGGATACAATCTTTAATGCTTCATTTTTGTTTCAGCTCAAGTTAACCCTTTTGGTGATATTGATTCTAAGTCTTATTTATGTAGAGTTCCTTCTATTCATTTGATAGGAATGAATGATTTTTTAGTCGATAGGTATATTTAATTAGATTATAGATCTTTAGGCTTAGTTGCGTAATTTTTAAATCCTTATGTAATCTATCACCATCAAGGTCATAAAGTTCCAACTCTTACATATGAATAAATTAAAGATTTAAAGAAATTTTTTCAAAATCCAACATAAGATTGGACAAAAACTGTTTATGTTCCTTAATTATCTAAATTATGAATTACATAGAAGGGTTCATTCTTCTGATCATTATTTTATTTAACAAATGAAATTTCAAAAATTTAATATGATTTTACTCTTTACTCTCAATTAAAACCATTTTTTGTGGCTTCAATGATAAATTAGCCTTAATGCTTCTAGAATTAAACGAATATTTTCTCAATATCATAACATTTTACAGATTAAATTTAATAAATCTTATAGAAAATAGTAAGTTATAATTATTTTATTTTAGAATTTAAATAAAATTAAAAATTTTGATAGATGAGTTTATTCATCCAATAAACATTATAGATTATTTTTTTGAGTTTTATTAAATATATTTTTTTCTTATTGATTATATGGTTGATATGATAAATTTTAATAATCAACTTTATTTTTCATCAAATATAAGATATAACATTTAAATTACTTTTTTAACATAACAATGTATATAATGCTTCAGGAGTATGAATTAATTTGTTATTAGAACTAATTTGATTTATTTTTGATTTAAATCTAAGAGATCATAATCTCAAATTCAATAAACTAAATTTTAAATATTTAATAAGAATGGAAGTAAAATAAAAAGTTCTTTGTTTTCATGGATTTGGTACAAATTCAGAGATGTTATCTTATTAATTAAGATAATTCAAGAAAGAGTTTAAAGATATTGATTTTATCACTCTTAATGGACCAATTCCATTAAATAGGAATGTAAACATTTCTAAAATCTTAAAGGTAATAATGGATGAAAGTATAGCAAAAATATTGGAGAATTAGAATATATATAGTTGGTTAAATTTTCTGCAATTTAAAAACAATGATATTGATTCAAGTATGTTTAGATTAAGCTTTAGTATTTTCTCCAGCATTAGAAGAAGTGGTAAAAATTTTAAAGGAGCAAGGACCTTTTTTTGGAGTAATGGGTTTTTCTTAAGGATCCGCAATAGCTGTGAGATTAGCAGCTAAAATTGCAGCTCAAGAAATTGATTTAGGTTATGATTTAAAATGCTTCATTTTTGTTTCAGCATAGGCTAATCATATTCCTGAATCATAATAATTTTTGTGTAGAATCCCTTCTCTTCATTTAATAGGATTTAATGATTTTGTTGTAGATAGGTAAAAATTGAATAATGAAATTTAAGATCTATGGGATTAGTTGTTTAGTTTTTAAATCCATATGTAATCTATCATAACTAAGGCCATAAAGTTCCTACTTTAACATATGAATAAGTAAAGGATCTTAAAAGATTTTTTGAAAATCCTTTTCAAGATTGGTCAAAAACAGTTTACGTACCAAAATTAGCTAAATTGTGATTAGATAAAATTTAATATAGTATTAATATCTATTTAAATAATATGTAAAAAATTGTTAATGTAAAATAACTGGAAAATCTTTGCTTACAATGAGATGGTACAAACAAAGAATTTCATTCTTATTAATTAAGATAATTTACTAAAGAATTCAATGATTTAGAATTTGCGACTTTAAATAGTCCAATAACAGTTGGAAAAATAATTGAAAATAAACCTCTTTTTATTTATTATAACTTTCTTAAATTAAAATAACAATAGTATTGATACAGGTATAGTATGACTCTATACTAAAATTAGTATTTCTGGAATCATTTAATACTTTATTTTTTTCATCTGGGTTTATGATAAATTTGCCAGAAAAAAGATAATTTTTTTTGCAAAATTCCTTTGATTCACTTAATTGCTATTAATAACTTTTTATATGTGGGTAGAGTTAGAGAATATCTGAATCTAATAGTATTATGATCAAGGACACAAAATTCCTTTTTTGAATTGAGAATAAATTCTATTACTAAAATAATTTTTTACTAAAGTAACAGAATTTTAGTAATAATAAATTCATGTTCCAAACTTATGATTATTATTATTTTAATAATTCTTAAATGTATTGTATATAAATTTTCACTTATAATGGTTTGTCCATGCAAATCTCTAAGTAGATTCATCAACAGTTCCTTGTTTGATTCTCATAGCAAACACATGTTTAGGCTTGCCACTAAGATATATTTTTGCTTATTATTTTGAATTAATATAAGCATTTGGTAACCAATCAATGTTCTTAAATTATTAAGATAATAATTTACATCGAAAATAGCAGGTTTTAAGGGTATTTCAAGATATTAATTATGGTAATATAAGACAGGTGTTTAGTATTAGAAGAATAAATCAAATAGCTAATATAATGTTATGATAATACAGAAATGTATTTTTAGGCTTTAACCAAATTTTCAACATTAATTGGTTTTCTTCTGATTTAGAAGTACACATAACCATAAAATCTAAAAAAGATGCCTGGTGGAGTGTATGTTCCAGTTTTTTCAATTTCTGATAACACATCATTAACATTTACAAAAACACTTTACAAAATTCTTGGATAATAAAATTTTGAATACCTTTCAGCTTCAAAAGCATGGGTAATCCTTTCATTTATTAATGCCTTTTTAATTGGATGTTTGATAATATCATTTTCATTTTTCATAATCATTTCTTCTTCTGGTTTTTCCCATTCTTCAGGATCAACTTCAAACCATTTTAAATCTCCATAAATAGTATAATCTGCCTATAATTATGATAATTTTAATTAAATACAAGCATCTTTTCACTTGTTGGATCTCCTCTATATCTTAACATTCTATCATTAACATCAGAAAACATGGTTATGATTTCTTCCTTTTTTTACTCTTCATTTTCAATTGATTTCTATCTTAAATTGTCAATAGTTTAATTTGAAATATGAGTTTGTTTTGCTTTTACCTCAGATAATTTTTGTTATTGTGAATTTTAATAGGCAACATATCCACCAGTACCCAAACCAACTATTCCAAAAAATGCTACGAAAATTTTCACAAGCTCAGTGTTTGAAGAACCTTATTAAGGTGCCTAACTAAAATAGCTTCTAGTTGTTTTATTCAGTGATTTTGAGAGTACTAAAAATAATCACTTAGATTATTAATACCTTATTAGCCTGCATTAGACATTCTACTATAAGACATTAATCTTTGGATCATTTTATTAAGACTTAAATTATCACAATTAAAAAAAATATTAATAATAAGATTTTGAATGCTTTATAAGATTTATATCCCAATTATTACAATTTTATTTTATTATAACAAAATTTTATATTTTAATATTGTATATAATTATTATAGTAATTAGTTAATAATTTCTATAATTATCAAAAGCACTTATTGAAAAAACAAAATCCTCCACTCTTTTCTTTCTTATCACTTTCTTTAATTGGTTTCTATAGAAAAAAATAAGAATAATCAAATTACTTTTCCTTTATTTAATCCATTAGTATATGACACTCTAGACTTGATAGACATATCTTATTGTTCTTATTATGAGCACATTGTTGTAGTAACTGATGTTTAAGTTTATTATTAATTTTCAGAATTTTATTGATTATTTTTACACACTAAAGTGAAAGTTTGACTTCCAGTTTCATACAGAATTTATTCATTATCTAAACCTAATAGACAATTATAACTTGCTAATACATGGCAAATCATCCTTAGGCTACCCAGACTTTTTTGAAATTTTTAATACGTAATCACATCCCTTTTTCACTTTGAAGTTCTCTCCTAAGAAATTATTTGTATTCAAATTACCTAATTCCTATTAGAATTGACGTAAACTAAATGTGATAGCATCTTCTACAGTAAAAATGTTGGGTAATTCACAGACTATTTACACATACTTATCGTTTTATAATGCAAAAAATGCATATTTCTTATTGTATAGCATCTTTTATTCCTAAGATTTCAAGTTGAAAATTACTTATTGCATTTAGGGATCATTTTTTGTAAGCTTCATATTATTTAAATGATCTAATTTAGATATTTAATTACTTATATTTTCTATATAAATATATATTTCATAAGCTCAAATATTAAATATTAATTATATTATCTAATTATTTCAGTTTCATGGCTGATAAAAATAAATCATAAGTGACAGGTCGTAAAATTATAACATCAGATAATGTTACTAAAGGTATTAATCATATTCTATACAAAATTAGAAATTGTCAAATAATTAAATGAGAAAACAGGCTAATATGAAACTATGAAAATAGAAGTTCCAAAATTAACTATAGCATAATAAATTGAAAAAACCACTAATGAAATTAATTAAGGTATTGTTTATTAGTACATTTTGTAGCAAATGAAATCTCAAAAAAATTATATTAATAATCCAATACATTAAAAGAATAAGTAACCAATCTAAGGTAACTGGTGGAAGAAAAAGTTAAGTAATATAAAAAGGAATAAGAAGAAAGAGAAAAAAATTTAATGAAAATGATAAAAAATAATAATTTAGAAATCAATATAGCTTAAATGACTGATGATTAAATTATTGAAAGATTAAACTAACTTGAATCTGAACTTAAAAGTGCATAAAAGATTAATGAAGTCTTAGCAAAGGAAAGAGAAGTAGCGAAAAAAGAGAATCAAAACATCGAAATTACAAAAAATATTGAAACTTTACAAATAAAATTAGAGGATAAAAAAAAAATATTAAAAGAAAATAAAAAGGAAAATGTTATACTTACTAGATAGAGTCAGGCTAATTAGAAAAAACTTGAGAAAATAGAGAAAGGATTGGATGAAGCAGCCTAGATTAATTAATTGAATAAAGAATTGTGTATTCTAAGAGAAAAAGAAAACAAAATTAATGAGAAAAAAAATAAATTCTCAACATAAATATAAGAAATCGAATAATTCATCGATTTTTATAAAGATAAGATTGAAAAACTAGAAAAAGATGATAAAGTAAAAGATTTAGAAGAGCTGTATAAAAAGGTTTAAGAGAAATGGGAATAGAAGGAAGCCTAGTTAAAGAAAGAAGAGGGTAAAACATTTTTAGATGCATTTAAAGAAAAATCTAAAGAACAAAAACAAAAAGAAAAAGAAAAAGAGAAAGAAAAAGAAAAAGAAAAAGAAAAGGAAGATGAACAAGATAAATCTAAAAAATTTTAAAGAATTAGCGATTACATCAAAGAAAAAAAGGATGTAAGCAGCCTCAAAGCAGATGAATAAAATTTCATTAAATTATTTTAATTAAAAATAGACTTAGAAAATTAAAAAAAAAAGAAGTAAAAGAAGAATGATTAGGAAAAAGATTAATTAGAGAGTTCAATAAATAATTTAAAGCTAGAAAAAGTTAATATATAGAATGCTATAAAAGAAAGAGAAAGGGAAAGAGAAATGGCAGAAACAAAAGAAGTTGAAGAGAGAGAAAAATTAGATATGTTGAAAGAAAGGAAGAGAATGGAATAAGAATAGAAAGAGAAAGAAAAATTAGAAAAATAAAAAAGTAATTAACGATCATAATTATCACCTTTGAGAGCGAAGTAATAAAAAGATGTTACAACAAAAGAAAAATTAAGAAAAGAGAAAGACGAGCAGCTGAAATAATTTAAAGAGAAATATTCAAAATTGCCAAAAGAAAAAGTATAATAATTCTTGTAAGAACCATTTAAACTTTCTTATTAAGATTTAGAAGAGAAAAGAAAGCGTTAATAATAAAAACAAGATGAAAAAGATGAAAAAGATAAAGTAGAAGTCAAGGCTTTGAGTATTATTGAGACAGTGTGTAGAACAAAACATAGAGGATCTAAGAGAGACTGGTTTGGTTATGAACCAAATGAATAAACAATTTAATGTGATGATGTTCACATTTTAGGATAGTTTTCAATAAACCATAGAATCAAGAAAATAACAATCTATCACAATCCAACTGAAGGTTTAATTTACTTATTATGGACTGAATATAGAAAGGAGGATGGTTCTATAATAAGTGGAACTTGGAATGTAAATTATAAAATTAATAAATATAGATTAATTAAGAATTATTAGAGAAGAATAAGGATATTAAGAGAGATGAATTAGATTTGAAGGAGAATGATAAAATAAAATAAATGATAATTCGAAGAGATAATAATTTTATATCATTTATCTAATTTAATACAAAATAAGGTTAGTAATTCAAAGTGGGAAAAGAAGTGATGTAAGTAATTTTGAAATATATTTAAGTGAGAAACAAGAAGAGGAGAAGCCGAAAGAAAAGAGTGATGAATAATAAGATAAAAAGGATGGTGATGGAGTTGAGAAAAAAGATGATCCAGATAGAAGAGATCTAAAGATTGATAATGTTTCTGTTCTTTTTACTTTATTTAGTGGTTATTCATAGAGAAACGAAAAGGAATTGGCTATGAGTTACTTTGGATATGAAATAGGAAGAAAATTGACTGCGGAAGAAAATAGATAATATTTAGAAGAGAAATAAAAGAGATTAGAGGAGAAGGAGAAAAAATATAAATTATAGAAATTAGAAGAAAGTATGGCTAGTGATTTGAATAGAAGCTAAATTAAAAAGAAATGAAAGATTATTATATTATAATATATACACATAAATTATATATATATAAATGGAGAGAAATTTGAAATGAAAATTAAATCTTTTTTATTAAATATAAAGAAAAATGGCAAATTAAGTTGAATTCAAATAGCTCGGTTTCTTGAGAGGTCATGCTGATTGGGTTACCACAATCATTACCAATTAAGACCCAACTTTGGCTGATTTAGTAATATCAGGATCAAGAGATAAATCAGTACTTGTTTGGAAATTATTCAAACAACCAGATGGTGAATTGGCTGGTTAACCAAGAAAATAATTGAAAGGACATTCTCACTTTGTTAGCGATTTGGTTTTATCAAATGACAATAAATATTTGTTGTCAGCCTCATGGGATAAAGAATTGAGATTCTGGGATTTGGTTAATGGAACTTGTACAAATAGATTTGTTGGAAACAAAAAAGAAATCTTCACATGTGCTATGAGTCCAGATAATAGATAAATTCTTTGTGGTGGAGCTGAAAGAAAATTCAAATTATACAATGTTAAGGCTGAAGAAAAACTTACACAATAAAACCATTTCCATGCTGATTGGATTAGTTGTGTAAGATATTCACCAATCATTAAAAATATCTAACCCTACTTTGTTACAGTTGGTTGGGATGGCTGGCTCAAAGTTTGGAATTAAAATTTCACAATCAGATTTTAATTCAAGGCTCACGATTCTTAAATTAATAGTGTTGCTATCAATCCATCTGGTGAATACATTGCTACTGGAGGTAAGGATAAGAAATTATACATTTGGAATATTACAGATTTAAAGAAACCAGCCTTTGAATATGATGCAGGAGGTATCATTAATTAAGTAAATATATTTATTTAATTATTAGCTTGCTTTCCATCCATAATAAAATTGGATTGTTGCTGCTACAGAAAATGGAATCAAAGTTTGGTAAATTTCATAAGAAGAAAAAGCAGAAACCAAAACACCAATTGTTACATTAGATCACCACACTGAGAGTATTAATTGTAATCTAATCTATTAGCTGCTGTTGCTGGAGGAGTTAAGAAGGTCTAAAAGCATGGAGCTGTTTCTGTTGCTCTTGATGCCAATGGTGCTAAACTCTATGGAGGATTCACTGATGGATCAATCTTAGTTTGGGAAGTTTCAACCAAAAATTGATATAATTATGTACATTAAAATAATTCCAATAATCATACACTATAGGCATAACTGTGAAAAAAGTTCAGAGCTTTTTTAATACGACTGCCTATTAAATTAGGAGGAAGGCTTGCTTAGTGAAAGTGATTATAGGAATTTTAATACAATATAAATCATTAAAACACTACGAGTGCTTTTTATATAAATTTTGGATAGGGATTTTACAATCCACAATAATTATTCTATTATATCTTTTTTATGATTTCTATATATATACTTATCAAATAATATCTCATATTTCATGTTTTAATTTGGATTAATCAAATTTCAATCTAGGTGCTATATTCATTGAAATTAATTCCTAAATCAATGTTTTAGCAGCATATGGAATTAAAACTTAGTAAATTTAATTTTATTGATTGGAATTCTTGCAAATATTACAATAAAACTCTTAATTCTCTAAATTAGCAACTGCAAATAATCCACATTTTGAACATACATGAACTCTAAATGCATCAGATACATCATATGTTCTCTCTTTTAAAAATTTAGCAGTTCCTATTAAAAATAATTAAATATAATAATACCATGTGATATGATACAATCTCTTTCCATTTCACCAAATCTCAAACCTCCTTTTCTACTTCTACCATGAGTAGGTTATCTTGTAATTCCTGTAACAGGTCCCCTCGAACGAGCATACATTTTATCATCAACTAAATGTCTTAATCTTTAATAATATGTTGGCCCAACAAAAATTGGAATTTGGAACATGTTACCCGAATATGGATTAGTCATAACTTCATTGCCCCATTTTTACCATCCTACTTCGTGTAATTCTTTAGCTATATCATTTACTGAAATTTAAGCAAATGGAGTAGCATCATTAAATTGACCTTTTATAGAAGCTAATTTAGATGATAGGCACTCAATTAAATGCCCTTTTTGATAAATAATAAAATAAATACCAATGGTCATTCTTGATGGAATGCAATGTGGATTAATAGTTAAATCTGGAGATATACCAGTTAAAGTGAATGGCAGATCTTCTTATCGATAAGTCATTCCACAAGTACCTTTTTATCCATGTCTACTACAAAACTTATCTCCAATTTAAGGGATTCTTAATGATCTTACTTTTACCTTTACCAATTTATATCCTTTTTAGTTTTCACTTATTAAAACTGAATCTACTACACCTCTCTCTGCTCTTCTTGTTAATAATGAACATTCTTTTGTATTCTTTTACCCATTTGCTGTATTTAACATAATATTGTCAATAATTAATTCTTTTCCAATGATAGGTTCTTCTTCATCAACTTTAGTTCCTGGTGGTACAATTCCATCACTATCTAATTTTATAAATAATTTTCCTGCAAAATTATCTCCAAGTGGCTTTGTAATTTTGGTTTCAGTGAAATTATCAGGATCTTTATCTTCAGATTCTTTATAAGTTCTATAAAAGACAGATCTAAAGAATCCCCTATCAATTGCATATTAATTAATAATGATGGAATCTTCTTAATTATATCCGGTAAAACAGGCAATTGATGTAACACAATTGATTCCTATTGGTACTTCATTAACTGTTATAAAATCCACAGCTTTTGAAGATGCTAATGGTTTTTAAGGATAATGGAGAATATGCACAAGAGTATCAAATCTTATATTGAAATTTGTTGAATTCAATCCCATTGCTTATTTACCCATAGCACTTTGTAATGTATTTCTAGGTCCTTAATTATGATTAGCAAATGGAATAACTGAAGCACATACTCCAAACATCATACATGGATGAATTTCACAATGAGTATATCTCTTAAAGTTTGATGTTCCTCTGCTCATAATATTTAGATCCATAGCAATTAATGACCCTTCTTCTTCTTCTACATCTAATAACTCAACACATTTATTTTATAATAATTATTCCCAATCTCTAAATGAGTTAAGTTAACTTTTCTTTAATTTTAATTTATTATCTTGAACAATAAATAATGGTCTCATACATCTACCAGCATCTGTGTAGATTCTGATTTCTTTGTTAACATAGTCAAAATTAATAGAAACTTCAATAGGGATAAAACTTTCTTCAGCTGATCTTAAATTTTTGAATTCTTAAATAAATTATTCAGGATTTCTTGTAAATCCAATCCAATTACCATCAACTAAGACTTTTGTCATTTTAGGAATATCTGATGCCTAAAATTCTCCTTATAACAATTAAAAATCAAAAACATCTTATTTCATGACCATTATCAATCTCAATAGGGCCTCTTTATCTTTTTATTATAGATCGTTTGAAACAGCAGTCATTAATGATAAATTTTTAACGATTCCAATTTTTTATCCTTCAGGCGTTTCTGCTGGACAAATGAATCCAAAATGTGTATTATGCAACTATCTTGGTTTACTCAATTTCATTTATGGATTAATTGGAGCATTCATTCTTCTTAAATGACTTAAAGTTGCAAAGAGAGAAGTTTCTCTTTTCAAAGTTTATGCAACTCCTGTTTTAACAACTTGTCCCTCTTTACTTCTGCCCCAATTACCAGTTGCTAAAGCATTATCAATATCTTTTGATATCTATTCTCCATCAAAAAAGGATTTAATATCATCTGGTTATCTCATATTTTCAATTCTTGTTTGTTAACCTTTTCCTCTTCTACCTCCATTTATATATTTTTCAAGTGCTTTTTTAGCATTTTATTTAAATGATTCAAAAGATGTTTTAAAAACACCCATCATCATAGCCCCAGCCATATCTAATCTTTTTTTCCCATAATGATCTCTATCATCTTAATCTGTTTTTCCTAAAGATGCATTTAATAATCGATGTACGATATATCCAATAAAGTAGGCCTTTCTATCTCTACTCTCCGATGAAACTCCTATATGAGGTAATATATTTTTGTTAATTAATTTCTTAGCTTCCTATATTAAAGTCTCTGGATCTTAATTTTCAGCTTTTTTTATTTTATTGCCTATCCATCTTAAACATAATTCTTCATCTTCATATTCGCCTCCTTCCTACAATGATCCATATAACATTTCTAACATAGGACCCATCTATTCATCCTCTAAATTATACACTATTCTTTCTAAAATTTCTAAATCGCTACTTATTCCTAAAGCTCTAAAAAGAGTAAACAATGGTATTCCTTATGTGGAATTAAATTATTTCACACTACATCTTATTACAGGTGTATTTTATATGTATCTTAATTCAACCTTAAAATTGTTTGGATTAGACCATAAATCAGGCTAAGATCTTATTTCTGCTACCCAAGGCTTATTAACTATTTTGCTTTTGAAAACCAAAACTACGTTGTTTGCTATTCTCTCTTAAGCTACTATAACCTTTTCTGATCCTCTTAATATAAAGTATCCACCCTAATCAAATCCACATTCACCACTCTATATTCTTTACTATATTGAATCAGGATCTTTTGGATCTTTAGGTAATGAACAAAATCGGCTTCGAACCATTATTGGTAGTTTAAAAAATGGCAAACCTTTGAATGTTTATTTACTTTTCTCCTCAATTGAACCATCGCGTTTATTTCTCTACTACATAGTAACTTCTAAATCAATTTTTAGTTATCTTGAATAAGTCAGATCTCTCAATCTAGCAATCATTGGAAATATTTCCTCTTCAAATTTATCTATATGAATATTCTTCTTTCCCATAAAGCATCTTATTATTTAGAATTAATATAAGTATTCGGTCTATGCTAAATGTAATTAATTTATTTATTACCATCCATTCTCTCTTCTTCCTTATACTATGGTTTTACTCTTACAATAAATGTCCCCTCATGACCTCTAACATACTTGATGATATTTTCTACAAAGCTTTCATATGAGTTTATCTACTATGACACCAAACCATGAGTTTAAAAAAACATGTGAAGAACTTTCCAAATATCATCATTGTTTAATTTTTAATTTTCATCTTCATCTTCCTCTTAGATTGAGTCATCAGAAAACAACCTCTAATCTTCTTCCTCAACTTATGACATTTGAGGTAATTTTTTAGTTAAAAAATTTATATAAAAGAAAAATTTAGAACATTAAATAAAAATTATAATATGAATCTAATTTTATGGATTTCTTAAGTGTTTCTTTAAAATCATCTAGAATCTAAAAATTTATTTTAATATTTTTTACATTATCTTAAAAAATGATGAATAAAGACGAAAAGCAAGTATTGAAAAAAAAATTCCGAAAAATGCAATCTTTTAACAAGTTTTAGAGCTATTTATATTGAATAAGCTATTCATGAATATTAATAATGAAAATAGTAAATTCTAGTAAGCAAAAATAACTATTTATGAAAAAAACAAATAAGCCTTAGTTAAATAAGTATTAAAAATAACTAGTTTTTGTACATTTATTTTTTAAATTAAAAAGTAAAAAAAATAAATAAGTGAAATGAAATTAAATCTTTAAATAGATAAAGTAATGTGTTATTGATTTATATTATTAATACATTTTTAATTACGAAGCACAACAAATAATTTATCTCCAAATCCTGCAATTTTTTTCGTTAAACAATTAAATTATTTTTGAATTCTTGACATAATTACCAAGTTTGTTAGGACCTTTTTCACACTTAAGAATTAATGAATATAATGATTAATAAAGAAAAAATGATGATTTTAATATGAATTTATTGTTTTTACTTAATATATTTTCTTTGTTTATAAATTGAAAATTATTGTAAAAATTAAGAATATGAACATTCCCTTCACATTGTCATTATGTTTCAAATCTTTCTATTTAAATTGACTCTTAAAAGTAACTTTTCAATTTAATCAAATTAAGATATTCATTCAAAAATTGATCTATTTCGAATAATCAGATATAAATATAATTTCTGACATATACTATTCAGTTTTAGTTAATAATAAGATTTTATAAAAATTTAGAAATATATTTTAGTTAAATAATTTTTCTTTTTTTACATATGATAAATTTCAACCAATATTTAAGAATAATTTTAAATCTTTGACCAACTACCAATCATCTAATGTTAAATCTTCTCTATAATGCTCTTTTAGGATATCGATAGCTCTTCTTGTAATCTTTAAAATAAAATTATTAATTACCAAACTTGCCAATTTTGTTTCCAAAGTGATTTACTTTCCAGCTTATATGGCTTAATTCGTTCCTATTCTTAAGGCAACTGCTCCTGTTGTAGCCCTTGCTTCCTTTAAGCTTTTATGATTTAATTCGATAGTCTCAACAATACCTATCTTATTTTTGTTACTATTTTAATCATAAATGCATATTGGAGTTCCTGTTTTTAATATTCCTTATTCTACTTCTACTCCTAATATTAAAGGTTCTTTTGTATTAATAATTCTGACGATCTAAAATATATATAATTGGATTACTTTTAATAATGAAGGGAATACAACATCTGCAGCTTCCTTTTTCTTTCTTTCTTCTTTCACTTACTTTATAAAGTCGGTAAATTTTGTAAATAAATGATAAATTATGTTCGCTTCAAAAATCTTGATTTAATTTTCTTCAGCAAATTTCTAAGCATCTGGTAATATTTTTACATCAAAAACTAACATGCAAGCATATCTAAAGTAATAAAAAATTAATATATACTCTTTTTTTCTTCTGTTTACATCTTCCAATAATACATTTTTTAAAGCTTTCATAACATCATCTTTAGAAACTGGCCCTACACTAACATAAGAAACAGGAATTTCTTGGCTATTTAAATATTATAGGAGAGCTTCCAAAGAACCCAAAGTAGATGCTGCAACTCCAACTCCTTAATTTTAAAGTTTAATATATTTTTTCACTTCTTCCATTTCATTATTAATTAGGTCTGTTGCTTTATCTATATCATCTTGAGTATTAGCTAAATACATTTGAGATCCCGCCATAGCTTCTTCTAATCCTACAGCAGATATTTTTAAACCCATAGATGCGTATATCACATCATGATGAATATACTCACCTTTTACTCTCATCTCTTTCATTGGATGAGGAGTTAAGAGAGCTCTAACTTTAGTAATTATAGGACCTTGAAATCCTGCCAAGATTATTTTGTCATCTTTTTTTATTTGACCATCGACTAAAAGACAATCTATAGTAGTTCCATGACCTTCAGTTACTTTCTTCTCTAAGACAGTACAATTAAATTATTCCTTCACTTTGATTTTATTTTTCATAAAGACAGATGTATATTTAACAATAACTGATAACAAATCAGGAATACCTTCTCCTGTAACTCCTGATGTTGGAACAACTGAAATATAAGTTTTTGGATCTTCATTCTCCCAAAAGAATGCAACATTAAATCCTTTCTCTGCCAATTATGTAATAACTTGTTATCTTTTACTTTCGTAATCCATTTTACAATTTTTGGTTTGATTTTACAATTAATGATAAGAAGAGGCATTTTTTTTATTTTTCCATTCAACGCATCTATCTATTTTATTTAATGCAATTATAAAGGGAGTTTTTCTCATTTTTAATAATTCTAATGATTCCAATGTTTAATTTTCTAATCCGTGCATTAAATCAATTACTAAAATGGCTAAATCACATAATGAGGAACCTCTAGTTCTTAAATTTGAAAATGATTCATGTCCTGGAGTATCAATAATTAATAAACCTGGGACATTACAATCAACAGGATAAAACTATTAAGTTTTTATTAATTCTTCCTTTAGTTTTTTTGCTGGAAAGAAAGTAGCACCAATTTATTAAGTAATTCCTCCTGCCTCTCCTTCTTAAACATTTGTATTTCTGATTTTGTCTAAAAGAGTTGTCTTACCTGTATCAACATGCCCTAAAATACAACAAATTGGTGATCTTAATTCACCTACAGGTTTGTATAAATCTAAGATTTCTTTCTTCGTAGTTGAAGCAAATGATTACTATTATAAAATTTGTTCTTATTATTTTTTCTATGCCTCTACTTATTATTTTTCTTACTTATCTTTTTCTTACTAAATTTACTCTGCTTCTCCTTCTTCTACAAATTATTCCCAACTTTCCACTTCTCCATCATCATTTTTATTAATAATTTCTTCTTATTTTTATGATTATTATACAAGAGGTTATTAGTTTATTTCTTCTACTCCATCTACTTTTTATTGTTTTAGCTATTTTTCTTCACCTTTTTATTCAGTTTATACTGTTTCTGTTTTTTGTTGTTTTTCTAATATATCTACTTATTATTATTATTAGCCTGGCTTTTTTTTATTTTTTTTTACCACATTTGATTTATTAATTCCATCATCAATTTTTATTCCCATTTAATCTCTCATAAACTTAAGTTTCTCTTCTTCTTCAAGTTATTTTTTTGTTTTATATATTCCCTTATCTAATAATTCTTTTTTCTTTAAAGCTTTTATTTATTTTCTTTTTTCCTCTTCCTTTTTTCTATTTTCCTCTTCCTCTTATTCTTTTCTTATTCTTTCTTCCTCAGCTTATCTTTTTCTTTCCTCCTCTTCTTTAATTTTTCTTTCTTCTTCTTCCTTTATTCTTTTTAATTCTAGTATCTTCTGTGCAGCAGCAGAAGGCTTTTTTCCTGGTTTTTCTTATTTTTTTTCAGGCAATTACTATTATTCGGGTTAATTTTTTTTCTTATCTGCTTATTTTGCTTTTTTTTCTTTTTTTTTTTCAGCTCTTTTCTTTGCTTCTTCATCTAGCTCCTGCTCCTATTAAGGTTGAGATGCTAATAATTTATCTAACTCATCATCTGAATCATTCTTTTTATTTTTATTTTTCTTTGTTTCTTTTTTCACATTTTTTGGTTCTTCCTTGACTGATGGCTTTTATTCTTCTTCCTCGTTTTCCTCTTTAACCTATAAGAACTTTGAACCTCCAGTTTATTGCTCTTATTCAGATTCCTCTGATTCTTCTTGCAAAAATTTCGACATAATTTTAATTATTGCTTTAGAATCACATATTTATATTTAAATGCTTTAATACTAATACTTTAATTCTTTAATAAAAGAACTTAAATACTTTAATTCTTTAATAAAAGAACTTAAATACTTTAATTTTTTATGAACAAAAACTAGGTGTTAATAGGAGTTGTGATTAAAATAAGGTGTCAAAAAGAAAAATATTTTAAATTTATGATAAAGCCTATCTATTTCTTAAATTTGTTACGAGTTGATATTTTTTGATAATTGTGATAGATTTTCATTTTATTTTTTTTTTTAATAAATTCTTTGTCATAACAAGCTGTAAATATTTTTGTTTTATGATAAACTTAAAAGCTTACATTATAAAGAACAACGAATATAAATAGAATATAGTTTTATTATATTATTTTTATTAAATTATAAGAATGATAGAAAAAGAATTATTGTGTGCTCAAATTGTCAAATATATATTTTTGGATAGAAATATTGAGAACTAAAAAAGATTGTTATGTAGCTAGTGTTTAGAGAAATTTGAGAGTATTTATAATGGAAGAGCATTTAGCTTAATTGTTAAAAATATTGAAGAAATTCAACAGTAAAAGATGAAAGATTTGTGATTAGTAGATTTTCATAATACCTTGAATAGAAAAACTTAGAAAAGTTTTATTACTGTTAAAATCTCATATTGTTCAAAATATTGATCAACAATTTAAAAATACAACCTAGTGGATGGAAAATTTAGTTTAAATGAAAAATTAGAATAGCACTTAAGCTTCTTTTAAGAAATTGATAAATTATACTAATTTTTGTGATATAAACAAGAATATTATATGATTTAATTAATAAGATAAATATATCTTTTATTTAGAAAATTACTAATATATTAAATTGCTTTATCAAAATTGAATAAAATTATTAATGTGAAGATTTAATAAACGAAATGAAAATCATCAAGTAACCAGATTTAAAATATGAAAAAATTAAAGAAATAATAACTATAAAAGAGATGTTTTACGAAATAACAAGATAATGTTGAATAATAAGCTAAATAATAGGAGAGTTATTAAATGAAAAAAGGAAATGATGTTAAATTGTAATTAATTGATGATTCACAAAAATAAAAGGACATTTGTTATTGTATTTTTTCAATAACACTTAATAAATTAAGGTATCTAATGAAGGAAAGAAAATAAAAATATGGGAATTTTATTAAGAAAGATTGAAATTATTAAAAGTTATTAAAGCTTGTAATAATACTATTAATTGTTTGGTTAATAGTAAACAATCAAATAATTTTAATCGGGTTCTGGAGATAATTCCATCAATTGCAGGAAATATCAATGAATCAAATTGGAAACCTTACAAAAAATTCGAACAAAATAAGGCGTTTTTTTTTGCTTGTTTAATTCTAAATGAATAGAAGGATTAACTTATATCGTGCGGCTGTGATAATTCAGGAAAAGTTTGGAAAATAAACTTTATGAACTAAAATTTGGATTTCTTATTCATTGAAACTAAATGGCGACTTGTGGTATCGACAATTAAATCATATGGCAAAAAGGCTCATATGGTCTATCGATGTGATGATTAAAAAAAATAATGAATTAAGCTGTTATTCTAAGAACAATAAAATTGCATCAATAAATGTTCAAAACATCCATCTCCTTACTTTTTATCTTCTTCTTTAGCATTATTTGATTTTAGTTTTTAGGTTTGATTCTGCTATAACCATAATAATAATTATGGGGCTTTCTATTTGATTAAAAAACTTATTACCTGCTTAATAGGTTGCTAATATCGCTGATTATTCCTTCCTTTATGAGATATTAAGATTGGATTTTAATAGGTCTAATAAGATGGTCATAGTGGGAAAATTTCTGCTAGTTGTGATTTTCTAGCAGTTCAATGTAAGACAGGTTATTAAAAGCAGAATTAAATGGTCATTCCAATTGCGTATGGTCGATATGCTTTTATTCTGACGATCTGCATTAGCCAACAGGTAATGAAGATCACTCAATCTGATGGATGTTAAAACAGGATTAAAGATAGTTTTAATTAAATGATCATACTAATTGTGTCAGTCTACCATAATTTGAAAAAATTTGGATTGAAGAAAATGAATCCATTTTATATATAAAATAATATAAAAAATTGTACTTTTTTTAATTTTTTTAGCACTAAAATATGATCATGGGTTTGGGTTTGCCCACTAGTAGGTTTAATTCAGCAGTCAC